AGGCTTGTGGAAACATATATTTTTCAACCTAATGCTGCTATTGGCTCTACCATGTTTGGCTAAATGGCAAGTGATTGTGGGAAGTATAGTCCAAATCATCTGGCAGGCCAAAGGTTTGCCATCTCTAATGTATCTGAAGGCTCACCCATATTTTCATGAACCCATTTGGAAATCAGTTTTAAATTTCAGGATCCAAATAAGGACCAAAATACTTTAAAGTCCCAGTAAGCAAAAAGGAGTTGCATCAACACAGATGTTATCTGAGCTGGAATGAGACTGGTATCAATTTGTAAAGGTGGACATTCTTAGGTGTCTGTTTCAGCCTAACATGCCATAGCAAGGAATTGGGGAAATATTCCGATTCCTGGGGAGACAGTGGTTTGAGCTATTCTTGAATCCCTGCTTGACCATAAAACCTACTGGACAAATCATATTCTCTCAGCCTTGAAGGAATACAAAGATAAACCTCTTCTGAATAAATCTTGCTGAGAAAGCCCCACCTTAAAGGTTAACTTAGTATCACCATAAGCCAGAAATGACCTGAAAGCACACAAGAGCAACAATTACAAATCATGATCACTACATGCTCAAAATAATAAGACAGTAGATGCTTCCTTATGTTACCTGTCCCAATTTGTCACTGATCTTTCTGCTGTTTTCTCAAAATGTGATTAAGAACAAGCCAGACTCTGTTTTCATCTTGAGTTCAAGCGAGAGGACAGGGAGAGGTTGAGGACTACCTCTGGAGAGAAAGGGAGAACATTTCCTTGTTCACCAGATTTCAAGAATCCTGCAGAATTTCCAGGTTATGTTTGGGAATGGGAGCAAGAAGCTAAAAACTGACCCGAGAAATTGCCAAAGAAAGTTAGGGAATGAAGAAATGATTGGGCAGAAGAGATGCTTCTGTTCAGGAACATTTCAAAATGTGCACTAAGTGTTTGAATTTGTAAGGTTGTTGGAAGAGCAATTTCATACATTCAATATTCTTGGTCACACAGGAACAATGCAACACGTTGGGTTGTTGTAGTTTTTTTGGGCTATATGGTCATGTTCTAGAAGTATTATCTCCTGACGTTTCATTTGCATCTATGACAAGCATCCTCAGAGGAGGCAGCACGTTACTTTAAATTGTGGGATTGGTGACATCACCTAAGTCTGAGTTGTGCTAACTGTGTATGCTTGTTTGGCTTTTAAAAACACCAATAGAGTCAGATGTTGTTCAGATATTTAAGCCTCCAGTCCTACACAAGCATAGGACTATGCTGGCCAGGACTTATGTAATTGGTAGTTTCAAGAATATCTGGAGGATATTGTCCTAAATAAACATGACCCTTGAACAGGTGATGGAAATTTAGGGCGCTGGTAATTGGCACTTAGAAAACTAGTCTATACCTGATCACAATCCCAGCCCATGCCAGAGCTCCCTGTCAGCCGTGGCCACCCCCAGCTCTTTCTAAGTCACTTCAAGAATACCATCCATCCATCTTGCCCTTGGTCTGCCCCTCTTCCCTTTTCATTCCATTTTCCCTAGCATCATTGTCTTCTCCAAGCTTTCCTGTCTTCTCATTATGTGTCCATACTACTTCATCCTTCCCTCCAGTGAGCAGTTGGGCTTTATTTCCTGGAGTATGGACTGGTTTGATCTTCTTGTGGTCCAAGGCACTCTCAGAAATTTCATCACCAAACTATAAATCTCAGGATGCCATAGCATTGAGTCAATGTAGTGAAAGTGGGGTCAAAAGCAGGTATGGACCAACTTTGGTCCTCCAGGTGTTTTGGACAATTAATGTAGGGGTTACTTTAACCTCTGGCTGGCTAGTAAAACTGAACTACTGTCACAAAATAATAAATGTCTCATCAACATGAAACATTTGGAAAGCTCTGATCTACACTGTAGAATTAATGCCGTTTGTCAACAGTATTGAATCCTCTGAGTTGTAGTTTTACAAGGTCTTTAGCCTTCTTTGCCAACGAGTGTTTCATCTTACTATACTCCTAAGATTCTAGAGCAGACATGGGCCAACTTGGGCCCTCTGGGTGTTTTGGGCTTCAACTCCCACTGTTCCTAACAGCCTCAAGCCCTTTCCTGTTCTGTGCCTCCAAGGGGGTATCTACACTGTAGAATTAACAGTTTGACACTGCTTTAGTAGCCACTGCTATGATACTTCATCTTGTTGATGGGAAGCTTCCCACCGGAGTGGAAATCATCTATTGGACAGATGGCAAGTTCTTTAACCTCAGCAGACTGAAAGCCAAAACCAAGATTACAACATCTGTTATAGAACTCCAGTATGCTGATGACAACGTCATCTGTGCGCATTCAGAAGATATACAAGCCATTCTAAACACCTTCGCAGAAGCATATGAGAAGCTCGGCCTGTCATTGAACATCGAGAAAATCAAATGCTCTTCCAGCAGTCACCAGCCAATCCATCTGCAATGCTAGAAATACAGCTTAATGGTGTAACATTAGAAAATGTTGACCATTTCCGCTACCTTGACAGCCACCTCTCCACCAAAGTCAACATTAACACTGAAATACAACACCGCCTGAGCTCTGCGAGTGCAGAATTCTTCCAAATGAAGCAAAGAGTGTTTGAGGAGCAGGACATCTGTAGAGATACCAAGGTGCTTGTTTATAAAGCTATTGTCCTCCCAACCTTGCTATACACCTGCGAGATGTGGACTGTCTACAGACGTCACATGCAACTCCTGAAATGAGGAGTTGCATGCTGCCTCCGGAAAATCCTACAAATCTCTTGGGTAGACAAGCGGACAAATGTCAGCGTGCTGGAAGAAGCAAAGACCACCAGCACTGAAGCCATGATCCTCCACATAAACTCCGCTGGACCGGCCATGTTGTTCGGATGCCCGACCACTGTCTCCCAAAGCAGTTGCTCTACTCCGAACTCAAGAACAGAACGGAATGTTGGTGGGCAGGAAAAGAGATTGAAAGATGGGCTCAAAGCCAACCTTAAAAACTCTGACATAGACACTAAGAACTGGGAAGCCCTGGCCCTTGAGCACTCCAGCTGGAGGTCAGCTGTGACCAGCAGTGCTGTAGAATTTGAAAAGGCATGAGGAGGAGGGTGAAAGAGAGAAAATGTCAATAATAATAATAATAATAATAATAATAATAAAATACAACAGTATATCAACAAAAAAAGCAAGCAAATAAAATAATATAAATAATATAACTAAACATATAAGCAATAACACACGAGAGATTTAAAACACTATGGCAGGGCCAGATGTAATACATTAAAATTTTAAAACACTGGGCGTGTACAGAGTAGGGTATGTCTAGACATGGGGGCTTTAGAGAGTGATGTAGGGAGATCAATCCAACGGATAAAGTGCTTCAGAGGACATATAGAAGGAAATTGGTCAGATCGGGCATTATTTCCTTTATTCAGGGAAGGCACATTGGAACAGCCACGTATTCAAGCTCCTCCTAAAGACTGCCAAAGTGGGGGCTTGTCTGACATCTTTAGGGAATGAGTTCCAGAGTCGGGGGGGGGGGCACCACAGAGAAGGCCCTCTCCCCCGTCCCCACCAATTGCGCCTGCCAAGAGGAAGGCGCGTCAAGCCAACCCCGACCGGGACCACCTTCCACCTGGAAACCAATGCTCTCACTGTGGTAGAAGATGCAGATCAAGAATAGGGCTCGACAGTCACCTATGGACCCACCGCCAGGACACCCATCTTGGAAGACAATCCTACTCAGACTACAAGGGATCGCCTAAGTAAGTAAGTCAGTGCTATACAGGGTGAGGCAGCATAACTTCCTTTTTTAAAATGTGTGACATTCAGTCGGTTGAAGACGTAGCGGAGCACTAGTGGTCTCGTTCGAGAGGCGGGAGTATAAAGTTTTGTCCTGACACAGTTCAGTCGCCATCATGTGTTGGAACAGTGAGGAGCGTGCTTTTGCCGTTGAGGCCTACTTTTCGAGCGGATTTGGAGTGGCCAGCCCGTTCTCCAGATTTGGCCCCTTGTGATTTTTTTCTATGGGGTTTTTTGAAATCCCGTGTTTATGTGAACTGTCCAAGGACCCTACAAGATTTGAAGACCAACATCCAGGAAGAAATTGCCAACATAACGCCTGCTATGCTGGCAAGAGTCATGACAAACGCCAGAAATCGGTTTACTCAGTGTATGGAGAATGGGGGACGTCACCTACCTAATTTGATCTTCAAAACTATGTAAAACAAAACTTTAGGTATGCGCCTACATTATTAAAAAAAAAATTCTGATTCATACAATCAGGCCCGTAGCCAGGATTTCGATTGGGGGGGGGGTTTCGGGGGGGGCTGAGTTTGAGTGGAAGAGGGTCTAGCCTAGCAAACCTTTTGTATCATTACCCCAATACCCCCATGCATATGGGATATATTGAGTATGGTGATCAGATCATGATATGAATAAACATAACAGTTTAAATAATGCACCAGTAAGGCCTCTTCGCGAACCACCATGAGAATTTGGGGGGGGGGGCTGAAGCCCCTCAAGCCCCCCCCCCCCGCTACATGCCTGCATACAATGGGTTTTATTAAGTTTTGAAAAAAGGAAGTTATGCTGCCTCACCCTGTAAAGGCCTGGGCCAACTTGGGCCCTCCACGTGTTTTGGGCTTCAACTCCCACCATTCCTCTCAGGCCCTTTCCTTTCCCCCCTCTGCTGTTCGGAACGGTGGGAGATGAAGCCCAAAACACCTGGAGGGCCCCAGTTGGCCCAGGGCTGGCTGTAGAGGCCTCCTGTGCGGTGGAGCACTGCCTGAGCATATCATCTTAGTCCAGGCTGGCTCGGCTTAACAGTGGGAAGATCCAGCCTAGGAATTGGGGGTGGTGGGGAAGGGGTGCCTCTCGAGGCCACTTGGCCCCCTCTGCACTCCGTCCTCAAAATGGCGCCTCCTCGCTCACTCGACTGAGGGGCTCCTGAGGAAGACGGGCACGGGCCTGGGGCAGCAACGACTAGGCCGCAACGGCGAGGGAGTGAGTTCTGCGCGAAGGCCCAACAGAGCGGAGGGGCGGGCTGCCCTTCACCCCAAACATTGGGGGAGAAGTGCCTCCCTGTGGCGTCCCTGCCTCCGCCCTGACACATTGCAGGCCCAGGCTCCTCCTTCCGCCGCCGCCGCCACCGCCGCCGCAGTGACTGCTCGCTCTGCCTTTGACTCTTCGGTGCTGGGAAGGAGGCTGGGCTCGGAGGGAGGGAGGGAGGGAAGGAGGCGAGGCCGGGCCGGGCCGGAGGGAAGGAAGGAAGGAAGGAGGGAGGCGAGCGAGCGGCCAACATGGCTGATGACTTCGGCTTCTTCTCCTCCTCGGAGAGCGGGGCGGCTGCGGGGGCGCCTGTGGCGGCGGAGGAGGACCCGGCCGCAGCCTTTTTGGCCCAGCAAGAGAGCGAGATCGCGGGCATCGAGAACGACGAGGGCTTCGGCGCCGGGGGCGAGGCGGGGGACAGCCCCGGTGAGTAGCATCTCTGGATCCACAGGAAGGGGACGGAGGGCGTTTGACCCGGGCCACAGGGATAACACCAACACATCTCTCATGACCACAACCATCATCATAATCCGCCTGTGTCCTTCCCCACTGGGGTCAGGCAGAAGGACACAAAGGCTTGGAAGAGGGAAAGCAGGTCTCTCTCTCTCCATCTCTCCCCTCAGGAGGGAACTTCTTTGGAGGCTTTTAAACAGAGGCTGGATGGCCATCTGTTGGGGGTGCTTGGAATGCAATTTTCCTGCTTCTTGGCAGGGGGTTGGACTGGATGGCCCATAAGGTATCTTCCAACTCTAGGATTCTATGATTCTAGGCCTGGCCACAACCTCTGCAGCAGGCACGCGTGCCTGCCTCGCAGGGATGCGGCTTCTGCTATTATTATTTATTGTGTCTTGCTTTTATCTGTAAATAGCAAATCATACAAATATTAAACAACCACCTAAAGCCCCTGCTAAACCCTTAAAAAGCTGTCGAAGGGTTTCATGGCCGGAATCACTTGGTTGCTGTGAGTTTTCTATGGATGCCTGCCATAGATGTGGGTGAAATGTCAGGAGAGAATGCTTCTGGAACATGGCCATACAGCCCGGAAAACTCACAGCAACCAATTAAAAAAGCTATGGCTGCTGCCCTGTCCGCATGCTGCTTCTACAGAGCCTGGGCATCCTGTCTTGTGTTGTTCCCATTTCACAGATACAGCAGTAACCTAGGCCTCTTCACAACAACAATAAACAATTTTATTTGTAACACGCCCTATCTCCCCGAGCGGACTCAGGGCAATTTCCAACAAAAAGAAAAGGCAAATAATTCATTTCTGTGTTTGAGAACACAGAGATGCTGGACCACTCTAACAACTACCATGTCAGACTACACAGAGAAGCCGTTGAATTCCACAAGCATGTGGACAATTTCAACAGAAAAGAGGAAACAATGAAAATGAACACAATTTGGCTACCAGTATTAAACAAACTCTAAAATCAGGACAGTAAAGAAAGAACAACACTCAAAAACCAGGGAATTCCAGACAAGAAACAATCAGGGCCAGCTAATCACCCTCCAACAAAGAATTCCCCCGGGCAGGAAGCACCCAAGCCTTGAAGCTGCGAGGCTATTCAATGCTAATGAAGGTGATCAATTGCAGCAGTCACACTTGCCCCCAACAGACAAGAGTCCTTTCTCCCACCCTAGATATTCCACATATATTTAAACCCCACTTGCCTTGTTTCCAACAAACCTCACTACCTCTGAGAATGCCTGTCATAGATGTGGGTGAAACATCAGGAGAGAATGCTTCTGGAGCATGGCCATACAGCTCCAAAAACTCACAGCAACCCCAAAATGGCAAACATTAAATGCCGGCAAAAACAAAACAACATCACAGAGCAGAACAATAAATAAACCACATAAATTTAAACCTATAAAGGACCAAGAATAACCAAAAAAGTTAAAACTAAGACTAATAAAATGCTTCCCACACTTTTAACCCACAAGGGCCTTTCAAGAGCCCCTCACAAGATGACTCCTGACCCCAGAAGAACACAGGGCAAGCCACCCAAGGTCTGACTCCCAGTCCATTGGGACCTGGTGACTCCTTTTATGATCTCTGAGAAGGAATGCCATTTGACATCACTTGAACTGTCATCGTTCAACCCTATGGAATTGTTGGAGTTGTAGTGTGTTACCAATACGCTTTGGCAAAGAAGGAAAAAGACCTTGTAAAACAACCTTTCCTCTGACTGCATCGCCATGGCAGTAAGAGTGGCATTAAATGGTATTCATTCTACTGTGTGAATGCACCCCATGCTTTGATTCAGAGACTTCATCTGTTCTTTGGTTTGGGAGGATTTCATGAGAGACCAAAAGCTGTCACTCTTCAGCCTAGTCTGGCCTCCTCCAGAAGGGAAGATGAATTATAGAGTTAGTTGTTTACGCTTAAAAAAATTGAACATGGCAACTTGGAGGATGCATTCACAACCACTTGCCTAGTTATGGATACCTTCATAAATTAACTATCCCAAAAAGTAACTTTCCAGGATCTGAAGTTAATGGCCTATTTTTGGCGATTGTGACATGGTGGCTTGATCATTGGACTACAACTCTGGAGAACAGAGTCTGAATCCTCTCTTGTCCCTGGAAATGTACTGGGTGACCTTGGGCGAGCCGCACTCTCGGCTTCAGAAGAAGGCAAAGGCAACAAATTTTGGTTGGGTAGCCATATGTCAGAAACAATTTGAAGGCACACAATAACAACAGTGGACACTAGGCTCAGAGCCACACAGTTCTGGCTTGATCCACCACGAAAGTCCTATTTCCTCTCGCAAATTCCTTCCTTCACTGAGTCAGGCAGGAGGTTATTATATTCAGTGCTGTTTGAAGAAGGAAAGGGCACATCTGTTGTAGGAGTGACAGACACACGGGACTGGCTTTGGGAGGAGTCCCCACAAATGTTGCCAGACCAGACCTAATCATCCTGGGTGTAGCCAGATATATTCAGGTGTGAGATGTCAGGAAAGAGGAGGAGGATCCACAAGGAAGTGGTTGGAAAATAAAAAGGTGTTTTCACGTAGTGCATCTCACAATCCTTGTCATTTGCAATTTTATCTTGGTTAGCCTTCACACTGCTTAGGATTCTCATATTTGAACTGTCCTTCTGTGATGCCTTTCCCATTTGCCTGACTTTTCATCACTCTTTGGGGAGCTTTACCTCTTTAATTTCTGCATGTCATGCTGCTGCTAAAAGCCTAGCAACAGGATAAGTAAAAGATGAGTCTGTCCTTGGCTTTCCTTAGGCAGGAGTCCAGAAGCTATCTTGTTCCCAAGCAAGGGAATTGCATACTATTTAGCCACAGTTACTGTTTTCAGAGGCCTTGTGAACTGAAGACACAGTGCCCCCATCCAACCTTTCCAAATATGCCCGACGTGGGTGTCTGGAGTAGAAATCCATTTAAATGGTTAACAAGGGGGTTCCTTAACAGATCAAACTGCCAAATGTTTACCCAATTTTCATTGTGCTGACTATGTTAGATGTTTTATTGTTGACCGTGCTTTTAAATGTACTTGTTTAGTTGTTGTTCAATGCTTTTACCGATATTTAATTTCATTTGATTAGTACAATGCTGTTATTCCATACTATGTTTATTGCTGTAATGTTTTGGTATGTGGCTGGGCATTGAATATTTGCCTTTGTATGTGTAAATCGCCCTGAGTCTCACGGGGGAGATAGGGCGGTCTAAAAATAAAGTTTATTGTTATTTTTTTATTATTATTATTATTATTATTATTATTATTATTCCCCTTTTCCTCTGTGTTTGTTGGACTGTATATTTAGTGAACTTTAGCACTAAGGAAAAGGTTTATAAATGGCTTTTTTTTTTCTTTAGCAGTGGAATAAGAATAGAAGGGATATTGAAGTCTCCCAGTATGCTAATTCGGGTCTTGGTTCAGTTGGCCAATGTGTTTAGATGCTGCTTCTGTAATATAAGAGCAGCTATTATGTTTCACAAGGTCTAGAGTTCCATGTAGTCGGGAATTGTTTTCAAAGAACGGGCATGTAATAAACTTGGTGTGTGAACGAGGACTCTCCATATCATGTGCTAATATGTGAATTGTGATAGGTTTCCTAAGTTCTAGGCAGCAGGGAGCTCTCATTCTCTTAAAAATACAAAAAGGGAGAGGAGTTGCAACACACACACATAGAGCTACAACATTTTTGATGGGAGGAAACTATTAAATGCTTAATCGTCAGCACATGCTTTGGTATCTTCCTCACGTGCCAACAGTTTCTTTTCAGAGCCAAATGAATAGGTATGACTTGGGAGAAATACAGTTCAACCAATTCAGCAAGATAGGCTTATGGGAAAAATAGATTCCAGTCTTTCTTGTCACTCTGCTTCTATCATTGAGATCATTATAAACAAAGTTAATTAAAGTTGAAGAAACAATTAAAATGGGATTCTGTAGAACTGTTAATTGTAAATAAGAGCTGGCATGTTTTATGTGTGCTTAACTCCTTCGGAAAAAAGTCAGTTGGTACAACTGATTTTGTTATCCACAGATTTTCACTCCAACAAAAGCAGACCAGGTTCAGATTGTGCATTGTCCCGATGTGCTTATGCCCACAATTTGATTGATTGGTCATGGATTGATGCAGTGTTGTGCCCTATATCCAGCAGAATGGAGTGCAAATTATTGGGAAGCACAATTGAACTCCATTGGAAGTTGCTTTTGAATAAGCATATGTCCTCTTCTGCTTTTGATCTTTTTGCTGAATTGAAGGAAGGGCTTTTTTAACTTCCCATAATTTTCCATGCAGCTTTAGTCTCAGCAGTTGGATGCCAACAATTACCAAGTAGCTAAGTCCTTATCTAGGTTCTACATTACAAAGAATGAGTCATACCTTGATAGACTGCCTTTTACTGAGAGCTTAAGAGCAACCTGCAGCTAGAGAAGTGATTACCAAATTCGAATTTCAGGGTGTAGTAATTTGGGAGCAAATCCTGTATTATTGTTTCCTGCACCTTTTGTTCCTATAAGCCCAAACTTCTAATTTATTTTAATTTATTCTTGCATTGATGTTACTTGCTGTTTCGTGTTGTATCATTGGGGCTGTGTAATGGTGGTGGGAGTGTGGAGGGATGGGTGTGTTGTGTTGTGGTGTGTGCTAGGGAAAGCATTTAATTTTGCTGTACAATGACAATAACATTATTCTATTCTATAAGTACCCACTGCACTTGGAGGCATGCCTTATAATGAAATTGATCAACCTATGGCCTTCGTAGCCCATTCGGTCTGTGAGGGTGGGAAACTGGTCCCTAATTTTATTCTTCTATGTGCATTAAAGTGCTTGCCGGTTTGCAAAGTCTAACTTCTTTTTCTTTTCCTTCCTCTGTAGTTGACTTGGATGGCACAGATGCCACTGTGAATGGAGATGTCTTTCAGGTGAGAATCCATCTAGACTCCTGGGTTGGTCTTGGGAAGCTTTCTGGCACTGTCACCATATTCTAGATTTCAATTTCCACTATCTTTTAGCAATCATGTTAGCAGGGGCTGCTGGGAACTGTAGCCTAAAACATCAAGGTGGGGGAATGGCTGAAAGACGTTGGTTTATGAAGCCAGTGAATATGGTATGCTTGAATGGGATAAGTGGGCCCAGATTTTTCAAGTAGTTGGTTGAGATTTCCCATGCAAAGCAACCTCTTTGTTAGTTGTCAAAGAAAGGGGATGTGTTGTGGGTGGACGTGAATTCCATCCATCAGTTTGTTTTCTGATGAGATTGACCATAACACTCTCTTTCCTAAGATCTGGCTGTGAAACTGTTTCACCAGATATTATTGGACTTGATCGGCCCCAACCAGCTCAAATAACATTAATGGATGATGAGAAAAGGAGTTCATAAATATTTGTAAAAGCAAACAATCTCCATGTGTGCCCTAGATATTCATCCATAGCAGCTATTTATGGGGATCATTACAAATAGAGGACACTGTTATCATAGAAGAAGGTGGCTACATTTGCAAGAAAGGGGTTAATTTGCTGGGGAGAAATTATGAGATTGGATTATACCCTTTAAATGTTGTCTTCCAAAATTCATCCAATGCACATTCAGACTTTTGCCTGTTTGTGGGTCAACTTGCTTGATGTCTTGGGGAAAGTGTGTGTGTATATACACGGAGAGGGAGCTGCAGTTTTGTACCTATTCTCAATCATGTGCCTACTAAGATATGATTTGCTGAATGACAGCTTTGTGCCATTTTTACAATGTACTAGAAAGCCTACTGTGCCAGCCCACGCTTTTCTGTACCAGTTTCTCTGTACTACACTCTTATCCTTTTTGTTCTGCTGATGCCATCCCCCAGCTGCATGCATAGCACTGGTAGAGTGTGCTGGGTGGGCAGCCACTTAAGCTAGCGACCAAGGAGGAGAGTGGTGTGCCCCCTTCTTTACGCTGCTGTCCCATGTCTCCATTCCTATGACTGTGCCCATTCTGCCCAGGTGAATGGAACAGTGGCTGAGGCTAAGGAGCATTTCTCTCCCCCCTTGTCATGGTATCAGCTTGGTTTATAGCGGCATAATCCCATTGGAGATGGGTAGATTTAATTAGATTAGAGGATTGAGGGTAAGGGTGGAGCATAATCCAATAGCCTTCTTCAACACTGCAAGCAGCAGTATTTCTGGAAACAGGGCTTGGTACTTAATTGCAGCTGCCTTCATCTCCTCTTGGTTTTCTGTTCTAACTTGAACTCCCCAAGAGACTGGTTGCTCAGCCCAGAAAAGCAAACTCCTTTCTACTCACCACCCAGATGTGTCAAACTTTGGCAAACATTTGCAATCCATAATCTTTTCTAACCTGCATGCAGAGAGAACAACCAGGTTCAACCCTTCTGCTTGCTTGGAAGAGGGAGCTGGAGTAGCAGGGGGGAAGCTTGCACCCAGGGGGCAGCAGAATTGCTCTGTAGGTATAGTGCCGATGTTTGAACACTCACTTGTCATAACATGTTGATATCTGGTAGAAAATAATTCAGGATCCCCAAAGCAGGGAGGGACAGCTCTCTAGGAGTGTGTCTATGTGTGATAATGTGCACATTCCTCAAGAATAGAGTCATTCCCCAGGAGAAAAATAAATAAAAAGAGAGTGTGTGTAGCCCCAGCAGGGGTTTGGTACTGTAGGAGGTGGCTTAAGAAAAATGAGGAAACCATCTCAAGCAGCAGGTTTTGCCTAGAGGAATGGCAATTCCCATGCATTCCCTATTTTTTCCCCCTCTTATTCCCTTTTATCTTCTGCTCCTTAAGTTATGCTGCTGTCCTCAGGTTTAGTGGAAGACACTGTCATGTCACCATTTTGAAAAGAAATCCAGCTGCTCCTCCTCCAATTCATTTCTGTACGTTAGCAAATTAGCATGTGTACCGCCATATTCTTCACCTCTGATCTGCTGCAGTGCATTCTTGGTCCTTTCCCTCTGCACATTCTTCTTTTAAAAGAAGTGCCCAGCACTTTGAGAACCTTTTATTATATTTACACTTTTTGTGTGTGTAGGCGGTGAGGTGAATGCTCTAGCACTAAATCATTTGCTTTAGGGTTGGTTTGCTTTTTAATCTAGAGTTGTTGTTTTTAAAGTAAAGTAATGGGTTTTTAATCTTCATGTCGACCCCTGACATATTTATTGTAGTGATAATTGAAAGGCAACCTTACCAGCCTTACATCACTCATTACCCCCAGCCATCCAGGGCTGATAAAGATAGTAGTCCAACATATTGCTCGCTGCTAAAATACCATATATACCCTAGTATGTGAGAAAGACAAATGCATTTTGGGAATGCGTTTTGGATGGCTGACAAAAATAGCATTGGTTATCTCCTTTTGTTTAGTGTTTAGATGTGTATTGTAGATTTCAGGGAGAGACTGTTCTCTGTATTGTACTGCCACCATCACCCAGTTTCTAACACTTAATCTACGCAAGCAACAGATAATATAAACAAATATTCCTGGGCAGAATAAATGGGTACTTGGTTCCAAAACAGGATTTCATAAGTGAGAACTGGGTTCAAGCACCCATTTAGTGGAAAAGCAGTACAGATTAGTAACCTGTTCCTCTTCCTATGCACATATAACACCTTCCAATCTTATTTTTGTTTGTGTACTTCCCTGTTGTGGGCTTTCAAGTCATTTTCTGCTTATATGGGCCCTAAGACAAACCTGCCACATAGTTTTCTGAGGCTCAGAGTGTGTGATACTTCCTAGATCACCCAGTGGCTTTCCTAGGCCAATTGGGGAATTGAACTTTCATTTCCAGAATTGTCGTCCAACACTCAAATCAACACTCTTAATTTAACTGTAAAAGGGTGCTATGTCTGTCCTAGAATGGGTCTGAACTAGCAACTTATTTTTCTATACTCTTGTGTGTTTGCTTTATCACAGTTACTGGCTGGCTACAAAGGATCTAAGCTAAAATGTGTTTTTGTACATAACTTGAAGAATGATCCATATTTCAACTTTAGGTTTTTCCTTTAAGGGCAGTGTGCTCTTGTAGTCTAAGCCTTTCCCCCCACAGAATCTTTATGTCCCAATGAAAGTATCCTTTTCCTTCCCACTTGCTTGACTCGTAGTGTGTATGGTCAGGAGGCAGGGATAGCTAGGCTACACACATTCTCCTTGACACACCTGCTTTTAATATTATTTGAAACTTTTCTGCTAGTTTTTATGGTGATGTGGATATAGGATGCTACCTCCCCATCCCTTACATATCAGCATCCTGAAAGTGATATGGTCCAAAAAAGTTTTATCATACCGTTAAAAACAGAGCTGATCTTAGAAACATGCTGTTCACCATTTAACATGAGAAATAAAAGTCCAGAGGGTGTTCAGGTGATAGATTTACAAGAGCACCAAAAAGCCATTTGCTTGTTTCTGCTGAGATGAACAAGTTCTGTGTGTGGGAGGCTTCTTCTGCTGACTCTAGGATAGAAAGGAGAAAAAAAACCACTTCTCAACCCTCTGTGAAATCACTGTGAATTATACAACTGTGAATTAAAGTGACCACATTTAGCACATTGCTTATGATTTCATCCTGAGGCTGCAAAATTGCTTCTTGTTATGGTATTAGCACTTAACCAGATAGAAATGGTTTCAGAACCAGCCAGAACAAACATCTGGTTCTATTCTGTGTGAGTTGAACCTTTTAAAGCCTTGACTATGACATCATAAGGATGACGCCATAGAGACACACCTTCCAACTGGATGAGCTCTTCTGAGACACAGACATGAAAATCATGTTGGCAGTGAATGGCAAGGCAAGTTGTATAAATCTGGGCAATACTATGCAGCCAGTGGTGTAAGGGAGCCAGGCTTGCAAGAGCAAAGTGCTGGGACTTTAGGACAACTATGTCATTAGCCAACCCCATCAGATTTCTGTTTCCCTCCAAGCTTAGCTGCGATCTTCATGCTGGTGTTGTTGTTGAAATAGATTAAAGTAGTTTAGAAGCAGTCTGTTTGTTGACTTTGGCCTTGTGGAAGTTTTTCCCCCGTCCATGGGAAAAGGAGTAGCATAGGCCTTTGCATGCTTGATTTACTGCTGTTCAGCTGCTGGAGTTGGTAAGTCAAACTCGGGGAAATAATCCTCAAGCAGAACCAGACAAGCTGTCAAGGTACTGACAATAGTATCTTTATTTGGCGTCATCTCAGACAAATCCAAAGGTATCTGACATTCCTTTCCTGCCTCCTTCTTCCTTTTGTCTCTCTCCCCCCTCCCCAACAACCTTCTCACAGACTCCCTCCCAATTAACCAGCTGATGTTCATTCCCATGCCTTGAGCCAGCATCTGCATCTCTTCCCTCTGGATTAATGGCATAGTATGCTTTCTAAATTTGAAGGGTGGACCCTCTGCCTTGCTGTCCCTCTTACAGGCCCCATCTAAACTCACCATTTAAAGCAGTTCAAAACTAGCCTCAAACTACAGTGGCCAGATAATGAATGCCCACAAAAGCACACAAAAGAAAACTCTTAACGTGCGTCAGTGCACTGTGGTTTCTGTAGTCACCATCTGGCCTCAAACTGTGTAATAATAATAATATAAATAATAACAAACTTGTATGTATCGCCCTATCTCCCCTAGGGGACTCCGAGCTGTTTCCACATATGCAAAATAATATAAAACCATACAATATAAAACAAAAACATAGGCATAAACTGCTAACATGTATACAGTGAAACCATTTTCTTCAATACTGTTTTGAATCTGACTTAAGCAGTCAGTGTAGATGTGCCTTTTGAGATGAAATAGTTCTCCTTGGTACTCTGAAAAGAAATGTATTTATTTTGGGTTCCTATTTTGAGCCGTTTGAGTTTCCTTGTGGAGAGAAAAAGTGGGGTATAAATAAATGTAATAATAATATTTAGGTACCTATAAGCATGTTTAACATAGAGAGATGCACTTTTAGATGTGGATGAGCACAGAGGTCTCCATTTTTTGACTCCTCTTGGAAAAATGTTTATGGAGATGATAATGATGAGCATTCCTCGCTAATGCACTGAAGGGGGTGTTGTTGAGCACAAACAGTTGTATCTTTAGGAGTACAGATTTTGGCAGTGGCATCAATTGGTGTCAGAGGAGGTAACACCAAAATGTTTTGTTTATAAACTTTTTGTACAGTTTTTATCATAAATTTATTATTTTTATTTTAAAATATCCCTTCAGTTATATATAACCACAAAAATATTTTGTCACCCCAGCTTACATGTACTGTATCCATACACCTATTAGGCTAAAATTCTGTTTTAATTTATTTTCTAATCATGCACATGTGCTCTGGGCAGAGCTACCATTATTTCCTCATGACAATTATGCTTTGAATCACATCATGTCATTCCTCTGGGTGAGCTACAATCTGCACTGTTCTTTTTATTGCTATTTTTTATGGTTGCTGATGTTGTCAGATCTTGGCTACAATAGTAAGGTATGATCTGGTATGGTTGGAGGTCCATAAGAGTGACACAATGAGTTGTCACACTGGGTGGCCCCGATATTAGTGACACCACTGAATTTTATCTTGTGGGCAGTTCTGGTGGGTACATAACTGAGAGTTCATTTTGCCCATCTCCTCCCATCTCATTCATAAATTGGACCTTGGAAAATGATGGTGAATGAGTTCTGGATGATTAGAATTAGAGCTTGCCCTTGATTCTAGCTATAACCTTTTAGCATGGTGAGAACAAGAAACTCAAATCACCATTCTTCTCTTCATTCCACATGCAGCAGGGATGGGTGATTGAAACCCTTGCTGCACTACAATCCTCATAACTACTTGGTTTACTGGCTAAGATGGGTGGGAATCATAAGGCAACAATATCTGGAGGGCCTCTCTGGGCCGCTGTTGACAGAAGCATTAGCGGGTTTGGGAGAAGAACCTGATTTTCACACTGTCATACTTTTATCTAAAGGAATCCAATGGACCCACTGATGCCTACGCAGCCATTGCCAGAGCTGACCGGTTGACACAGGAGCCTGAAAGCATTCGCAAGTGGCGAGAAGAGCAGAAAAAGAGGCTGCAAGAGTTGGGTAGGAGTGTGTGCATGTGTGTGTTACACAAAGCACCAAATACAAACTATATAAATGGAGACAGAAAATGATGGGATGTGTATATATTGCTTTTATAATGGGAATTTCTGAAGGATCAGAAGACAAAAGGGAGGGTTTCAAGGAAAAAAGAGAAAAGCAAAGAATGAAAATTTCATTACAATTTACCTGAAGCTAAGCAAAACCCTGCAGGTGAGAAAATCAGAGTTGGATGACTATTGAGAGTTATCCCCAAAAATGAGAGGAGTGGTGGAATGAAGAAGATGAAAATGAGACAAGAAAGTACCAAATGCAGAACAGGTAGAACGAGAGTAGATAGTAGAAATAATATACGAAAAACAGGCTCCTGGGAGAGCTAGATTCACGAGGCTGAACGGACACCACCAACATGCCTCCTTTATAATCATGAAGGTGACTGGAAAGTTTGCCTTTCATTTGGACTATATTATTTGTTTTCTTCCTATAGTTTTATTGAAAAATCCACTTATTTATTATTTATTTATTTATTTAAAACTTTTATATACAGTTTTTCTCTAACCTCCGTAGAGGGACTCAGGACGGTTCTGCACAGCAGTAAAAACACAACTGGAAATTTCAGTCCTCACAACTGCCTGCCTCATTTTCACTTTCCAATAAATGGAAATTCCTTATTTCTTCTCGAGTTATGCACATGGCATCTATCCCTTCATGAGCATGCCAGTGCAGCACAACTCTCAGGATAGATCTTTAAGCCCTTCTTTGGACCAGTCCCTTCCCTTGTCCAAAAGCCAGCTTTGTACAGCACCCAACAGTGGCTGGGAATTCCTATTATATCTTTCTGCCTTCCAGTTATGTACCTGTTTTGTTTTAGATGCTGCTTCTAAAGTGTTAGAACAGGAGTGGCGTGAAAAGGCCAAGAAGGACTTAGAAGAGTGGAACTTGCGGCAAAATGAACAAATGGAAAGGAACCGGGCCAACAACAGGTAAAACTACTGCCACCAACAGCAATAATAGCTTCACTCCCATCATTGTTTGGTGCCAATTATTTTTGTTAACTGACATGGATGATATAACAAACAGACCGGTAATGGTATTGTCCAGTGTCTGCTTTCTTGTATGAAAAAAATGTGCCAGTGCTTTTGGTTTCATGGCCATGTGTTCCTAGATTTGAACTGGGGAAACCATTTCAAGAGAAATCATTCAGAACCATATCACTGCCAGGCTTTTTGTCATATCATCCATATCAGTTAACAAAAATAATTGGTACCAAACAATGGAGTCTGGCTAGAGATGTTAAATCTTTTACATGTTATCTGCCAGTCATAAACGTTCTTTCATATTCTGTCTAAGTAAGTGACTGCAGACATGCCAGGCAGGGCATCTTTTACTGCTGACAGTCAACAGCTTTAATTTCTGAAAGATTTAATTTCATAGTTCTCAGAAGCTGTTCTCTCTACTTCAGGACTAGAACTGTGGAAATACTATGGCATCTAATGTATCTTTATAAGGGGCCTTCCTTCAGTTTCCCTTAAGCATTTGACTAATGGATCTCTAACCAATTCTCAAAAGCGCCTGGCCTGTCCTTTAGTGTCTAATTCTGTTGCTTCCATTTCCCCTAAGGGTACTAAACCATATTTCTCTTTTTAACTCTGCTGCTTCTCTGCTCTGCGTTTTCTCCTGTCTCTGGGTCACATCGTAGGATTGCTGACAAAGCCTTTTACCAGCAGCCGGATGCCGATGTGATTGGCTACGTGTACGTCTCTCTTGCTTTTTTCCCCTTTATGCCTTTCCTTTGTGGGTTCTCTAGGTAGATAAACTCTTAAGGGCTCATGCTGGTTACACAAAAGGTCTGATGTGCAATTGCTTTCTGTTAGACATTTTATGAAAGGTCTTGTAAATAACCCAGAATAGATTAACAGTGCACCTGTTCTTTACTTTTATAGAGAGAGCACCCAGGTGTTCAAACACAGGACATCAGAATAGCTGCTTCACTGTGCATCTTCTCCATTTCTCTTAAAGCAGTGGTTCCCAAACTTTGGTCCTTCAGATGTTTTAGTCATCAGCTCCCAGAATTCCTAACCATGTTAGCCAAGCTGGCTGCAGCTTCTGGGAGATGAAATCCAAAACACCTGGAGGACCAAAGTTTGGGAATCATCGCTTCAGGGAAACACCAGTGTTTCTCCATCACAGCTCTACCCAATAGCATTCCTATTTCTCATAGTTGAGAATTATCTGGGTGATATTTATGTATTGTTTTTTTAAAAAAACAGAAATTACTTCATTTTCCTAAGAAGTAATTGAGTGTTTCTCTCTTCATGTGAAAAGTAATGTTATGAATCCTAGTTTAACTTACAATCTTTTCTCAATATTATACCAAAGAGATGAGGAGCAAAACAGGTGAAAGTGTCTAAGTTATAAGCAGGTATTGGTGGAGAAAGAATATAAATAAATATTGGAGGAAGAAGGGAACACTGATTTAGGATAGGAGTGACAAAAAGTGGAAGAAATATGCTGTATGTCACTAGAGATTTCTGGGGATTCAAATAATCATAGAGTTTATACACCACTTTCCTATGTATCGGAAAATTAGCAACTTTAATAACAATGCTGTGATATAAATCAGCATTCTTGTCATCCTCCGTGCTTGGGAATTGATAGTGCTTTTAGAGGATGCCTTGCTGGCTGTTTCAAATAAGAAACCTCTTTCAGTGTGTTTATGTGCACAGTAGATTTCAGGGTCCATTCCCTGTTCTGTTTTTAAGTGTGAAGCATTTGGCCTGGCCACTGGAGACATGGCTTGGTGGAACTGTTACTACACTCTGACTTTTTATGCCGTTGCTCCCCAGTGGTTGAATGCAGATGCCATTCAACAAGGCAACATTGATGTGGAAATTTCCACAGCTTGGAAACAATGATTTTCAAGTAATGAAGTTAAGTGCAGTTTGGTATTTTAGGTAATGAAAACTCAAGGCCACATTTCAAAAATAATCTAACAATACTTTTTTTTTTTTACCAATGAGTAACACAATAGTAACTATCAAATTATATTTGAAAGGATATTTCAGATTAGATTTTTCAAATTGTATGTCATTAACCACTGATCGTAAGGATTTTTTAAAGGAATTAAATCAGTGGCCACCTTAATGAAATATTTTGTATGGTTAACGTAACAAATTACTTTAGGGTTTTTTGTGAGGTGAGTTTGGAACAAGCAACATAAGAGATTACTTTTAAAAGCTCTGTAAATTTTAAAAGCTCTGTAAATTTAACATTTTCTGCTGTCCAATCCACAACTATTCCCAGTACATGCATCTACAATGACAGCAAACTGTGGATGTCCCCAGAGGGATGGCTCCATCTGTCACTTAGAGAGCATTGCGCATTATTCCATCTTTTCTACCCTAATATATTTGTTATGGTGAGGAAAATGACACTAAAAGTTATGTGAAGCTTCTTGGGTGTTAGAAAAGTGTCTTGACTCCACATCAGTCTCACGTTATGAGCCAAGCAAGTGGCATCTTGAAAGTTTTATCTCGTCAAAGACACAAGAATTGCCTTTAACTGGGTCAGACTGTTGGCCTGCCTGGCCCAAAATTAAAGATGTGAAGTAAGACTTCAGTCTACAGAAACATCCATAAATATTCCTATACCAAAACAAAAGCTGATCTGCCCGTTTCTTTTGCATGGGTTGACTGTACCCTTTTTCTCCAGAGCCTCAGAAGAAGCCTTCCTGAAGGAGTCCAAGGAAGAGTCACCTGGCACTGAGTGGGAGAAAGTAGCCCAACTCTGTGACTTCAACCCCAAGAGCAGCAAGCAGTCCAAGGATGTCTCCCGCATGCGCTCCGTGCTGATCTCCCTCAAACAGACACCCCTGGCCCGCTAGCCTAGCCGAAAAGGGGGCCGGGGCCGGGTGAGGAGGCAGGAAGGTTGCTCTTTGGTTTCGCACAAGCTTGGATGGCACCAGTGAGGGGATGCCAAAGCATCCCACCCTGCCCCTTCTGCTCTCTTCTCAGTATGTTTGCATCACTCAAATTGGGTGGCTGCCTGGCTGTACCCCTCCCCTGGATTTTACTTTGCTTAAAAGGGTGCATTGGTATCTTTTTACATATATTTATTAGTGGTGTGGTTCCTTGGGCAACTGCCCTCTTTGGTGCCCACCCCTGCTGCCTTTAGGAAAGGTCACTCCCTGCTTCAGAGTTGGGGAGGGGGCATTCACAGGCTTTCCTGTCCCCAAGGCCTTCAGGCCTGATCCTTTCATGCTGTCAAACTTGGCCGGTATTATAGGTTAAAAAATGAAATACAATCATCTTTCTATACCAGATCTTGAAGGCAGCACCAAATCTGAGCTTGAAGAGTCCCAGCTCTGCTTGCAATTCCCGTAATCAGGAATGGTGATGGCTAGGAATTGCTTGCAGATAGGAGTGAGTTGGAATTCAGTAGTGCTTTCCAGTTGGTGCAATGACAACCTTGGCCCAAACAAAGGGAACATTGTGTTAGGAAGCTACACTTTCAAAGTAAAGTGTTCAGAAAGGGAGAGAACGTCGTGATAAAATTGAAATCTGCTCAGTGCACTGAGGGTCTAATGGAGAATATGAAAGAAAGATCTGTGTGAAGTGACAAAAGAGGATAGGGGCACCAGTATCCAAAGCTAATTGCTAATTTCAAGTCGAGCAGGCCCTCCAAAGCAATAGGGAAGTGTAACTATTTGATAATTGCATCAGTTGGCCTATTCTAATAGGGATTAGCCCTTAGATTTAGTTTGGGATTCGTAATTGTCTGGCCTTGCAGATGTTATTGGACTACAGTTCCCAGTAGTTGTAGCCAGTAGAAGCATCAGTGAAGTATGCTGGAAGTGACAATCCAACAATATCTGGAGGACCTCACAGCCACGACCCCTGATTTAGGCCCTTGCCATCATGGTAAGACCCACAGGAGGATAAAAGTCAAATACATAGTTATGTTAGTCTGGAGTATCAGTATACAAAGGGATCTTACAGCACCTTTGAAATTTACTAAAAAGGAGGTGTAGTGTAAGGTTTCACAGACTGTAGTAGACTAAGCCTTCAAACATTTATGCTACAACTTCTTTCAATTAGCTTCAAAGATGCTACAAGATTCCTTTGTATAATAAGACCCACAGTTGAGCGTAATGCTACTTTTCCTCTCACAATATATTCCCGAATGCAAGAGCCTACATGAGCTTAGAATAGATGATAAAAAGAATATAGAATATGAGTCCAAGCAGCTTATTTACCTTATTCATCTGCACTTCTCAAACTGGATTCTTCCATATTTGGTTGAAAAATACTAAATGCAAGAATGTGGTGTGGGAAGTTAACAAAGGCTTTTCTTGCTGTGATCATTTTTTTGGGCTGTATGCTTCTTAATGGAGTGAATGAAAGGGGAACATGGTTCCCTCAGGCTCTTGAGTATGAAAGCATTGTCTGAGCATCTAAGGACACCAGGGCTAATTCTCTTATCAGTACCTATCAAGTCAAAACACTCGTTCAGATATTCCCAAAGCATGCACATGTGCACATTTCCTCAGAATTAAGTGTCATGAAATTTAGTGGGACTTACCTAAATTGTCAGAAGGATTATTGTAAGTAGCCTCAGAGAAAGGCAAACCCCCACCCTGCCCTAATAAAATCTTGCCAATAAAACTCCATAGTAGGTTCACCTTAGGGGAATCATAAGTCAGACATGAGCCGAGGCACACCACAACATGTGTAGGACTACACTCTTGCATATTTACAATTTCCACAGGAAGTTGAATCTAATCTAGGGGTAAATAACTTGTGACCCTCCAAGTTTTTTTTAATGGGGTTTTTTATTTACCCCTAGAATCTAATCTAGGGGTAAATAACTTGTTACCTACTGTTCCTACCAATCTTAGCTTGCATAGTCAGTGGTGTTGCAGTAAAAAAAAAAAAACACTTGTAAGGTCACAATTATACACTCCAGCTCTGAATGTTCTAAGATGTACTGTATTTTGCTTACTGTAGCTAATGTCCTTATTACTAGGATGATTTTCCAACCCAGCTAAAAGGTAATAATTTGATAAATAGTTCTGCTGAAAACACCCCTTTCCCCTGGTGCTGTGTCATCAGCTGCAGCAGGCACCAGTGCTTTTTTCCCCTGCTGTTTGCTCCAATTTATTTTTGGCTCCTTCAGTCTCCTTCTGTGTAACTGAAGGGGTGCTAATAGATTGGTGGTTTCTCCTTTGAGGATATATTCTGAAGGCCCACTTGGCTTCTTTAGTGAAGATGCTTCACTTTCCTTACCTACAGGTAGTAGTCCTAGCTCCAAAATGTTGAAATCTAAGATGGGTGGGACTCATCCAGCTCTCAATATGTTTTTGGTCTCCTGCTAGGCTGACTGGGGACTGTTGGCATAATTCCCAGCCCTGCAATGGTAATATGTGACTGTGAGACAGTTTGTTATGTATGTTCTTTTGAGTTGGTAGGAAAGGGACAATTAGGATGCTCTGGCCTGTCAGATCTTAACTTGAGAATGGTAATGTATGTATGCACTGTATGATCCTTTACTGTGTATCTGCAGCTCCCATCATCCTTCACAATTGGTTATGTGGAGCAGGGAGTTGGAAGCTTCAGTCCCAACGTCATCTGGAGTGGTACAAGTTTCCCATCACTAGTGTAGTTGGGACTGAAATCTCTGAGCCTGTGAAGGCAATACTCACATAATGGGGTGGAAATACTTTGCTCTCCAAACATTTTGGACTACAATCCCACAAGCCCTTATCATTGCCTAGGCTGGCCAGAACTTCTGTGAACTTAGTTCCAAAACAGATGGAGGAACAAAGTTTCCCCATGCTGCTACCGGGATAACATACAAGGTTTTTCTAGTTTGCAATGGTTTCATAGACAGCAGATTTGCTTGACATTTATATATATATATTGTTCAGCGTGCTAAAGTCTCCATACCACCAGTTTGCGATACCCTGTTTTCAATGAAGCATGTACAAGAAAGAAACTTGGAAGGAAATCGATGTTTCTCCTTCAGAGATTTTTTTTCAAGCATTTTCTGATATACTAATTTTCAATCTTCCTGCATATAGGCTATGTCATACCAGTGCCTCATCCTGCAAAAGTGGTACAATGGGTATCATCCTAAGAGAGGACAAGGTGGCCCTCCAGATGTTGGGCTGTAACCCATCACCATATAGCAAATGGCAAAGGATGATGGGAATTGTAGTCCAATATCTGGAGGACCATCTTATTCACCCCGGTTTTTAAAAATGAGCTGGTGTGGGCTTTTGTATAAGGGATGGGTATTTTCACTGGGGAAGAGCAGCTCTTTGAGATAAGATTTTTTGCAAGCTTCATGTTTTTTTAAAATAAAAAGAGCCCAGGAAGGGTTGGAAGCAGAACCATTACAGAGCCCCAGCCTTGTAATATGTTCTGATCCTGGAACGGTAGAACTGAAACCTCCCTGTCTCCTGTAGGTCTTTTTCCTGCATGTCCTTGGCCCATGTTCTGGTGATCAGAGGTGTGTTTGAGCTGAAATATAAAATGTGTGTCATTTACACTACATCCTGTTTCAGACCACTGTAGCTAAAGAATAGTAGTACAGAGAAGAAGGGTTTTTTTATTATTCTAGGGCTGTTTCCTTGTGTTATTTGTTATGCATTCAAAGAATGGGATAAACAACCCACGTGTAAATCTAAATGAAGAGATGGAAACAAGGAAGAGGCATAGATCCCAGCTCTGAGCCTGCTACAGAGACAACAGCTAGGTTGCTGTCTGGCAGCAATGGTGGACTGGCTGATTACCACACTCCATGGAAGATGAACTATTCACTTTCACCATCTTGTACCTACTGGATTCTAGAAAAAAGAAACAGCCTCTGCTTGGAATTGCCCGGTCAGCCCCCAAAGTTCACTATCACTCCATTCTGTGCCCCAAGGAACAGCAGCAGCAATAAGCTGGAGGGCCCTTGGAGGAGGGCGGGAGCTTTGCCTGCCGCTGTCCTGCTCCATCCTCCCCACCCCCCTCCAGCTTTAAGATCTGTGACTTTGTTAAACCACCTATTATCAATAAACTGCCACTACTTCAGGTAAAGAGTCACAGAATGTATTTCTTTCAATATTTCCTCTCTGGGGAAGAAGGAAATTGGGGGAGGAGGAAATCCACATATTAAGAGAGATGGGTAGTGTGAAGCCTTTGCTATAGAAACTCTTGGAGCATATTGGCCCATTCCTTGCATGTTTTAATTTCTACCATGCCTGACAGCTTTCTTCTAGGGGTTGTTCCACTGAAAACCCATGAAATAAAATATTATGACTGCAACATATGGATGGACATTTAACAAAACTGCCCACAATCAATCTTCCTTACTCAACTGAAAAGAAAAGAAGGGTTTCTAGATTTTGGTCTTGGAGACATTTATAGTACACTTCAACACTTATAATATGACATTTAAAAAATTAAGTGGTTTTCTTCCCATGTTCATTGAAAAGCATGAATCACAATTTCTCATTTTACATATTTTCTGGAAGAATAGCAGAAAGGCTTCTCAGTCAATTCCCTCAACTATTTCAAAAGAAAGTTTGTTTTTAGCTCTCTTCTGCAATAAGTACAGCAGTGTACTAGTTGATTTTTTTTTTACAAAAGTGACCTATAGATTTAATAATGATGGATTTAATTATGAATGGCGAGCTGTGCATTGGAGAACATTTATATGTGCCTTAGATGGATAGCTAAACAACCTATGAGATTATGCATAAATAAATACATTGTATATTCCTACTGTAGCGTGTAATGATGGATAAATGCAGGTGACTTTTTAAAAGAAACATTTTGGTAAAAATAAGCTGGGTGTAATGGAAATGAAAAGCCAATTTCTCAAATATTAATACTAAAAATATATTCTCAAATATATTTTAGAGGAACATTTTCCATAAACGGAAATAGTTGCAAACGTTGGCTGTAAGAAAGCTGCTATACTGAAACATTTAAAATGTGATTAAATGTGCTGGCTATAGCCAATGGGAGTTGTCCAATGGCTTCAAGGCCACACTATTCCCACCCTGCCCTAAGGAAAATGGAAAGCATGCAAAATATAGGGTACTCCCCACACCCCCCGCATATATACATACACTTTTTAACAGCTAATGGCAGCTACGGTAATTACATGAAGACTAAGTAAACACACTTATAATGAAGAATAAATGTTATAATTTATCAGTTAGGAATTCTATCCACAATTACAATTTTCTGTTAGGTATTCAAATTGTCCCTGCACAGCAATGTATTACTCAGTGTTGAAGTAGAGACTTAAATGTTTTCCTGTAATTTCACAATACTTCTATACTTATACTATTGACATTTTTAATTCTGTTAAAAGAGTTCATACATTCCCTCTCCCCAAATGAGGAGCTTTAAATACATTTTTGACACCCTGTGTGTGTGTGTATATATATATATATATGACGTAACAATAAGATGGGACCAATTGTGAGAAGATAACTACATAATTTATTTAGCCTGGTTCCATATCCATGTATTCTGTATCCATGAATTCAAATATCCACTGCTTAAAAATACAGATTAATTTAAATTTCAAAAAACAAAGTCTGATTTTGATTTACTAGGGGCAGCATTTTTCTATGCCATTGTATATAATGGGACTTCAGTATCCATGGATTTTGGCATCCAGAAGGGGCCCTGGAATCAAATCACAACAGATACCATGGCACTACCAGTCATATCATATGCACCTTTTAGCAGCAGTGAAAGATTTTAACTAATCTAAGAAAGTGTCGTTAGCCCAACCCTGAGAACCTCAAACTATAGGCAGGAAATGTGACAAGAGGAGATTGGAGAAATATGCTGTAAGCTACACATCTCGTAAGTGGACTCTGTCCTACGCAGAATCACGCTTTATTGCAGTTTCCACTAGTTTGCTGCAAATTGAAAAGTCACAAGAAATTACCTTGACAAGAAGGCTGGCTTTATTACTATGCAAACTTTAATTTATACCCTATCTGCATACCAACAAGGGACCTAAGGCAGGCCTGCAAAAGGGGAAAAAATGACTGAATAGAGACAGGGACCAGCATGGCTGCAGATTCTCCAGCCCTTGGGTGTTTAAGCCTCAGGAGAAGAGTACCACTTCTCTTCTTCCGTCTATATATTTAATTATCTACTCATTCTTATACAATGTCAGTAACTCTGAGGCTGTAATCCAATGTACAGTTGACATGCTCTGTGGAAGTTACTTCTTAGTTACTACATATATGCTGCAAACCCAATAAATTGAAGAAAATTGGTCCTATTTTTAATTGAATATATTAAGTTTCCTTGGTTTAGTGTCAGTTAGTGGTGACAGCTTTAAAATGTATAAAAAGGAAACTATCAATCTCATGTAGCAGAAACATAATGGAATCCAGGGCCAGATAAAACCATTCCTAGTTTTAAGACAACCTGAGAAGCTACACAAGTATATGAACACACTGTCCTGACTGATAACTTGACAAAATAAGAGCTAAATTGATACAATGCAATGCAATAACATTGCACCCCAATTGTTGAAAGAACCGGCAGCTGGTTTCCTTTCCCAGCCTTTCCATTGATGCTACAGGTGCCTAGTGTTGCAATTCAACTCACAGTCCTCACACAAATTAAGATTTCCCCATCCATGCCCAGCATTGCACCTGGGATCTCAGAATAAATTTCCATGAAGAACTTCTATATGAATTAGGGCAACATCCTTCTTGCATACAAGATGCACCATTTCAAACTATGGCATGGGTTTTTGTTTTTTTTGAATGATTGACAAATATCAATATGTGCAGGAACAGTACATGGATATATAAAGAGTTGGCAAAGAGATCAAGAGAGATCAAGTTCATCATTTCAGTGCAATTCAGCAAGTGGGGACATGACCACAGATCAGAAAAGACTTTATCTCACCAATCTTTGGCTATGAGTGTGTTTCAAAAAGAGAAATGATACTCTCTATATGTATTACCACTTGCCCATGTTATTTTTCCCCCCATAATATCTAATCCCAAAGATGTGTAGTATATGTGTATGTGTGTGTTTAGAAACAGAATTGCTCACACCCTTTTCTCCCAATAAGCTTTGCTAATGTCATATGCTCCAAGACACTGGTCTTATAAGACAGAAAAAGAAATGTATACACCAGTGACAAGGTTGAATCACTTGAATATATTAGCAGTAATATAAAAGTCTAGAGCCTTCTGGCAGCATAACTCTGAGACATCATCCTGGAAGACAAGTACCGTGTCCATGTTAGAAAGACCCATTCCTAGGCTACATGGCATCGGACAGTCACATTTTCCTGCATGGTAGCAGTGTGTTCACTTCTTGGGCTTCAGTGCCGTAACAACCACACCCACGACCAAGGCTGCAACGGTGAAGCCCTGAGCCAGGATTCGTGCCCGCATCATTATCTGGGACTGGCGAGTGTTGCCCCTCTTAAAACAGATGAGCCCATAAGTTAGGACTCCTGCTGTACCAAGGCAGCCTATAGAAAAGGACAAGAGAGGCATGTGTCAAAAAGCAACATGAGATCATCTTGTGGACAGAAAATCAACTGTCTAAAGAGAAGTTCATTTTAATTTAGTCTCAGTATCCCCTGCCCATTGGTAAAATTGCAATTTCTCTACAAGGCAAAAACCTTGGGTTAAAATAGAGAGGATATAGGAAGTATTTTAAATAAATAAATAAATACCAAAGGGACAAGATGGCAAAGCAACATTTTCCCAAGAACAGAACACCCTCCACTTTTACAGATTAGAACACAGGATCTCTGCAAAAAGTAGGAAACTGCAAACAAAAATAGTGTTTATTAAACCCGAGAGAACACTTCTCAAGGAATATTTAGGTTCTCGGTATTTGGGGTATTGCTAGTGACACTTGGCGTTCCACGTTTGCAGGCTTAATGTTTGCAGATTTGATTATTAGATTTGATCCAGATATTTTTTCTCAGAATCTCTAGGTCCTGCAGCATGACTTCTAGCAAAAGGTGACCACAGAGTTGCCCTAGAGGACCTAGATTCCTAGAGAGAAAATCTTAATCTGGAGTACAACTCCCACAATTCCTAATAACCGATAGGCTGTCTAAGGCTTTCATGGATGGAATCACTGGGTTGCTGTGGGTTTTTCAGACTGTATGGCCATGTTCTGGAAGCATTCTGGAACATGGCCATACAGCCTGTAAAACTCAAAGCAACCCAACCAATAGGCTGTTAGGAATTGTGGGAGTTGTATTCCAAAACACCCGGAGGACCGGAGTTTGCCCATGCCTGGATTATAACACAGTATAATGAGGATGCACTCCTCTGTAAAGATACAGAATGGGGGACGCCTGGGTCTAGAGCAGTACATGTGAAAAAGATCTTGGGGTCCTCGTGGACAACAAGTTAAACATGAGCCAACAATGTGATGTGGTGGCAAAAAAGCCAATGGGATTTTAGCATACATCAATAGGAATATAGTGTCTAGATCCAGGGAAGTCATGCTACCCCTCTATTCTGCCTTGGTTAGACCACACCTGGAATATTGTGTCCAATTCTGGGCATCACAATTGAACAGAGATAATGACAAGCTGGAATGTGTCCAGAGGAGGATGACTAAAATGATCAAGGGTCTGGAGAACAATCCCTATGAAGAGCGGCATAAAGAGTTGGGCATGTTTAACCTGAAGAGAAGTCTGAGAGGAGACATGACGAGGGCCATGTATAAATACGTGAGAGGAAGTTATAGGGAGGAGGGAGCAAACTTGTTTTCTGCTGTCCTGGAGACAAGGACACGGAGCAATGGCTTCAAACTACAAGAAAGGAGATTCCACCTGAACATGAAGAACTTCCTGACTGTGAGAGCTGTTCAGCAGTGGAACTCTCTGCCCCAGAATGTGGTGGAGACTCCTTCTTTGGAAGCTTTTAAACAAAGGCTGGATGGCCATCTGTCGGGGGTGCTTTGAATGAATTTTTCCTGCTTCTTGGCAGGAGGCTGGACTGGGTGGCCCATGAGGTCTCTTCCAACTCTGTGATTCTAATGATTGAATAACAAGAGCGTTTTCTGGGAATTAGAAATAATATTACATTTAAATTAGTTTATAAATCAGTTTAGCTTTATGGATAAAACTCAGGGCTGCATTCTACCTGCAGGGGGCACCTACACGATGACATTAGCCCAGTTTGACGCCACTTTAACTGGCAGGGCTCTATGCTATGGAATCCTGGGAGTTGTAGTTTGGTGAGGCACCAGCACTCTTCGGCGGAGAAGGCTCAAGACGTTGTAAAGCAGGCCTGGGTTTCCTAACAGACCTGTGGGAGTTGAAGGCCAAAACACCTGGCGGTTCAAGGGGTGCGAAGCTCGCCCCCTCCTTACCGATGGGCACCAGCGGGTTCTCGCGGGTCTTGCGCATGAACTTGTCCGCGAAGCCCTCCTCGCGGTGGTGGTAAGCGCCCGGCTGGAAGCCCTCGATCAAAGGGGGCCGGCTGGGGTCAAGCGGAGGCGGAGGGGCCTGCGCCATGACGAGGGAGAGGCGAACAACACCACTCCGCACCTTAATGACTCTCCACGGCCTCCGTCATCAATGGGCGACGGAACCTCCTCTGCAGCCAATCGCGTTCTTCTAATGAACATTATTGTACTATGTACTGCTGGGGGATGTAGTCCAGCTAGCTTTTCCGTGTAATGCGAGCCATTAGTTGGACTGAGGGATGCTGGGAATTGTAGTCCAGTCAGCCGTTCTTCTATGAAATCGACAGCACTGGCGGGCACGCAGAACTACCACTCCCGTCGGCCAATGCGCGGCAATTTTGCTGATTCTGCGGCTGCGCAGACGAGGATTCCGGCGTCGCGTGAGGAAAGTGGTGTCAGCCTCAGGAGAGGCGAGTGAGCGACCATGCCGAAAGCCAAGCAGAAGCAGCGGCGGCGAAAGTATAACTACAACATCAACCGCAAGAAGTTGAACAAAGCTGCCCGGAAGAAATCGGCACCCCGCATAAAATGGTGAGTAGGAAGGCTTTCATGGGGTGCAGCTACACTAGGCCTGGGCAGACTTGGGCCCTCCCATTAGGTGTTATGGACTCCAACTCCCACCATTCCAGCTTAAGCGGCTGAGGGGGAAAAGGAAGGGGCCTGAGGCTGTTAGGAATGGTAGGAGTTGAAGTCCAAAACACCTAATGAGAGGGCCCAAGTTTGCCAGGCCTGATCTACACTTTAGAGCAGGCATAGGCATCCTTCGGCCCTCCCTCCAGGTGTTTTGGACTTCTACTCCCACAATTCCTAACAGCCGGCTGTTAGGAGTTCTGGGCGTTGAAGTCCAAAGCACCTGGAGGGAGGGCTAAAGTTGCCCATGCCTGCTGTAGAGTGAATACAGTTTGACCCCACTTTACTTGCCATGGCTCAATGCTGTAAGATCCTGGAAAGTGTGGTTTCACAAAGCCTTTAGACTTCGTAAAGTACTTTAACACACTACAAATCCCAAGGTTCCATAGCATTCAGCCGTGGCAATTCAAATGGGGTCAAGCCGTATTCACTCTACAGTGGAGATGCACCCGAAGACAGAAAATCACACATCCGCTGCGCTTAGGGGCACAGGACCTCAATGAAAGTGGAAAACCGCAGATACAGATCTTGCTTCTTTGTTTTAGCAATAATAATAATAATAATAATAATAATAATAATAATAATAATAAACTTTATTTGTACCCCGCCACCATCTCCCCAAAGGGGACTCGGAGCATGACATCAAGCCCAGCAACACATCAATAAAAACAACAAGCAATAAGCAAAATAAACAATACAATTAGTATAACTCACACGTAGACAATAACACACAAGAATTTAAAAACCTATGGCTGGGCCAGATGAAATAGTTAAAACTTTAAAAATAAATGCTGGACATGAACAGAGGATGTATCTAGTAGGAGGGTTTTAAACCAAAAGTAGAGAACAACCCAACGGGTAATTAAAGTGCTTCTCAGGATATTTTGCAGGGGATCGTTTCCTTTATCCAGGAAAGGCACACTGGAACAGCCACGTTTTCAGGCTCCTCTTAAAGACTTCCAATGTGGGGGCTTGTCTGATATCCTTGGGGAATGAGTTCCAGTGTCAGGGGGCCACCATAGAGAAGGCCCTCTCCCTCGTCCCCACCAATCGTGCCTGCGAGGGAAGTGGAAGCGAGAGCAGGGCCTCTCCAGATGATCGAAGAGATTGCATGGGTTCGTACACAGAAATGCGGTCACGCAGTTAGGTGGGTCCCAAACCATTCAGGGCTCAAGAGAACACCTCTCTAAGAATTTCTAGGTCTTCAAGATGAGTTTTCCTAGGATGCCTGTAAAGAAGGAATGGCCGCATCATCATTCGGAACTATCAATGCAAAAGCAAGAAGACTGCAGTCAAGCTTCTGTTCAGGGAGTAGATCAGGAATTAGATGCTTTTCTGGAGTTGTGCTGTGATGCATACTTCATATTTAGTTCTATACCAGCTGCAGTGTATTTCATAGTTAGATAACACAGCCCAACAGCAACACATTTTCCTTAGTTTTTTCTTAGTTTTTAGGCCCATTACTGGAATCCTTTGGGATGCTGATTCAGAAAATTGCACTGGATAGACCACATCAGTTCTAGTTTCTTAGATAGGGTTATCATAGTTTTCTATGGGCAAGAGGATGAAGACTGATACATGGCATACATTCTGTATCTCAAAAATGAACTGATGGGTGAAAAACTGGTGCTATTTTTGGAATGAACGGAAGCAGGGCTAACATTTGAGGCACCAAAATGTGTGTTGACCAGTGTAATTTGTGGAGGAAAAAAGACTTTAAATCCTAATGGCTTAATTTATAGATGTGTTAAATTGTTATAAGGTTACTATGGGCAAATAACAGTAATATTCATCATCTCAAGATCTCTGGACAGGTGTCTGTAGAAGAGCTGATGCTGTTTCTCAGTAGCAAATCTGTTGCGTGATGGTTACTAAGAGAGGAAAGTTAGCGCAAAAATGCACAGCATTAATGGACAGGTTTATCTGTTTAATTTCTTCTCAGTTCCCAAATACGACATGCCTGGGATCGGTCCAAAACAGTATCGCAGAACTTGGCTGAAATGGGTTTGGCTGTTGATCCAAACAAAGCTGTTCCCATTCGAAAGGTAAGCAAACAGGTGATGCTGTGTGAGCTCAAAATAGGTTTTGTTGTCCACAAGTCAATTTCAAGGGAGATAACCTAAATCAAAGCTTACAGTTGGGAAGAGCTACCGGAAGCCAGAACAAAGGAATCAGTGGATGTCCTGTGGTCTCTGCCTAAACACAAAGTGTATACAGGCAGTACCCGAGTTACAAACATCCGACTTACAAGCTACCCATAGTTAAGAATGGGGGTGAGACAACAGGAAGTGAAAGAAATCTACCCCTTGGAAGGGAAATTCACTCCTGAAAGGCTTATCATGGGGAAAAGGTGTCTCCACTGAAGCTTTATCCCCAATTCTTGTTTCCACAACAAGCCAAATCCAATTCTCACAGGGACAGAAAGTGCAGTGAAGAACCTATCTTGTTCATAACTTGAGGACTGTCTGTACAGGAGAAACATATAGTTTAAAATGGATAGCCAGAGGATGGAGTCCAAAATATTTTATTTAGATTTTTTCTCTCCAAAATCCCTGTAAATGCACTCTAGGGGATATGAAGGGTGTTCCATCATGTTTATTTTCCCCCTTCCTGGACCAATTTGTTTTCAATTTTATACAAATATTTTGCATGAAAATGCTCTATGAAGTCCACAGGGGACACGGAGTACATTCCCACCACATCCTGCAGGCTTCCTGGAGCCAGTTTTTGGAACTCAGAATTTACCCAAGTATTTGAGAGTTAAAAAGGTGTTTTATTGGCAAGAGTAGGCACAGTCCTCCAAGATCTCCTAGGGGCCGAATGAGGCCCTCCGGCCTTCCACAGTTATCCACTGTGGTCTAAAATAATAAAAACATGATATTTACGTCAACAGCGAGGGAACTCCTGACTGTGAGAACCGTTCAGCAGTTCCATTTCAGAAAAGATCAAATGCCTTAGGGCAGTGAAAAGGATATGATCAATTACATACTTACAGCTTTACGAACATTAATACTATGATAAGCCTTTGGGGAAATGTTTTACCCTTTTAAAAAAGATTTTTTAAAGTTGGGAAACCATTTTCTGTGTGTTAGAAAGAAGGGATCATGTCATTTGTGGAACACTAAGATTATCTCTCAGGGTCTGACGTTGATCACCTATGGTTTGTAGTGAAAAAATGATTAAGTTTTTTTAGTTGAATTTTGACATTTATATTGCCTCACTTTAGACTTCAGGATTGGTGCAATGTCGAATGTTTTGTGTTTGTCTGTGCCCGATGTTTTATAGTGTATTGGTTTTAATCTACTGTTATGTTATGTTAGTTATGTGATGCATTTTATATTTTTTGAGGCATTGAATTTTGCCATTTACTTTGTTGTGAACCGCTTTGAGTCCCCCCAGGGGCTGAGAAAAGCGGTAAATAAATAAATAAATTTAGCCCAGCAGTTTTTTCTGGGTTGGCTTTGATAAGGAATAGATTATGTCATTAACACCTAAAGGTGTCCATCTTCACAGATGAGCAATGTGGATTGCTAATCATAGTCTATTTCTAGTGAAAGTTATCAGTTTGCATTGTGTAGTTATCTGAGATGACATATTTATTATTATCAGTTACACTCTGTCAAATAATACCTTCCCTATAATTAGAAACCCATGTTACAATATTTGCATAATCCTGAAAGACAAATTAAGAGAGACATTGCAATTTATAAGACCTTTAAACTATTCTTTTGTCTGGAAAAAAGAACATTATTAAGATAAAGAAGGGGGAGAGAAAATAGTAGGGAACCTTTAAAATCCTGAAAATGTGTGAACTCCAGCTTTAGTGAAGGGTTGAGTTTAAAACTAGTAATGCATTAATTTTTATGTTTCTTATGTATAACATGGGCCATCATTTCTTTTAAAAACAGGGGATGAAAATGGACGTGGATGGCCAAGAAACCAAGACAAAAATAGTGCGAAAGCCATATGTAATAAATGGTTGGTATTGTCTTTCTATTGAAAATGCTGGTCTGATGCTTTGTAATTAAATAATAATAATCTTTATTTATAACCCGCCCTATTTCCTGGTTGGGGAGGGGGACACTCTTTATTTGAATTTTTGCAATGCACATCCTGAGGCATCCAATTGCCTTTGGACTTTTCCCAGTCAAATTAAGTACAGCTTTCTTGATTGTGTGAGTTTTCATTGTCAAGCAACCATAACATTGCCAAAGATAGAGTTTAATATGAATATGCCGTGTTGGTTGTTTTCATTTTTCATAGACAGTCTGGGCCTTTCTGTTACTGAGCCTAGTTGTTATAATAATCTGTTAGCTGAATTTTGCTGGTTCATTTATGCCAGCACAGGCTTTTGAGAGTGTATTCTTCTGTCTTACTGCCTTTTCTTCTATACATCAGAGTTGGAATATGAGGCCAGCCTTCCTGAGAAGAAATCAGAGACCCTCTCCAAAGATCTTATTGACTATGTCCAGCACATGATCCGGAATTATGGCGAAAATTTCAAGGTGGGTCACTCATTTTTCAGAAGATAGAGAAATCTGAGAACCTTGTATTTGCATGTTTTTAACTGCTGCCATTAAAATTTTCAGTTTTCAGGATTTCTTGGTCTGTCAGGCAAGATATAATTGGGGGCATTCATTGCCCATTTTATTGCATGCTTCTTTCCAGCCTCTTGACTTCATAGATTCTTTGCCAGACAAAACACATTTAATTTTTTGAGAACTCTAGTGGGTTGCATTTGCCTTCTGAGGACACTCAGATTTTCTGACTGCACTTTTGTGGTTTTGATTTTCCATTTATTTTGTGTACAGCAATGTGCAGAAAGGAGCCATGATGCATTTTTAACCGATGCTTCTAGGAACTGGCTGAGCCTCCACCTTGGGATTCAGTGAGCCTTGTGCATTGCTGATTTCATGCAATATTTGATATCATAATTGGGATAAAAGCTATGCAGTAAACAAGGTGCCCACTGTTATTTCCAAGTTGGGAAAAGTAGCAGCAGGGATTGCTTTTCCAGCTTCCCTCTGGCAGTCAGAGTAAATTTGTAAGGTGCCTGACTGGAGCATATGTGAGCTAGAGTTCCCAGTGTCTCATGTCTGTATCTCTGAGCCTTTCCTTATTGTATGCTGCTTTCATTCTGGGTGCAGAAGGCTTTCTAAGGCTGTCAGTTAACACTGCTGCATATCCTTACAGTACCTGTTTTTCTTCTTAACCTACCAGAAAATGGCTCGTGATGAGAAAAACTATTACCAGGACACACCAAAGCAAATAAAGAGGAAGATCAATGTGTACAAACGCTTCTATCCTGAAGAGTACCAAGCATTCATTGATTCTCTAAAACAGGAGAAGATGGATGAGCAGTGATTTTACTTGCCAGTTATTGATAGCGGAACCTTTACTACCTACAACTGTTTTACTTCAGATGCCACTTCTGGTGACTAGTGCCCAATAATTGAAATTGGGATTAGATACCATTCTGTCCTTTCAGGAGAGAAGATGGGAAAAGTGTCTGTGCAGATGAGACTTGTGGTAATAATTTGGGACTGGTGGAGAATCCTTGCTGCTCTGCATTTACAGCTTTCATGTTCTTGCAGTATAATTTCCTTTGGAGTGATCCTGGTTGAAATAAACAACTTTTCCAACCCTTGTGTCGAGAACAAAGTATGGCTAAAGAATGTAATGCATGCACTTGCTCCTTGTGAGGCCAGAGTTTCTGCATTTCTAGAGTAATATGATATATAACATCTGAGTATAGTGACTGTGGATAGGTTTCCCACAAAAAAACCCATGGCAGGAATGAGAAATAAGCATTTTATAGAATTTGAGGGAGCATAAAAGCATGGAGCTAAGGAAACGGGCCAGAAAAAGAATGCTAATACCTCTGGTGGCATTTATGCTGCTTCCCTACAAGGGAATGTGGTCACCTTCATAGATATTGCAAGAGCTAACAAGCGGTATCCAGTAAGAGCTAATCTCTTTTGCAATAGCCCCTCCAAGGGAGGTCATCATATTAAGTGTGTGACAGTCCCATTAAGAAATATCATCCTACCAGACATAGAGGAAGAGCCAGAATCTGCTACTGGAAACATTAGTAGGATTTTTTCCCCTTTGTAGAACTTGTGCTAAGGGAAGTTCTGGTGCATCCTTGGGTCAAGGAAACAGACCACTGGTTGCAGACATATTTCAAATATAGTTTAATAAAGAATATAAATAGGTTGATGCAGAAACATTCTTGAAACCTATTGACTTTGCTCCACTATTTACAGTAATATTTAATCCTCTGTTTTAGTGGGTCTAGAGGCCAAACCTGAGATGATCGTGTAGAGACTCACAAGGAAAGTTGGCCTTGGTAAGCTTTCTGAAGCATCAGGAGAGAACAATTCTTGCTTGGATTAATGCCTATTGTGTGGTTATCTGTCCAGAAAAGCTTCTAAGGCCTGAATTAAGTCCAGTGAAGGGGCCATAGGTTAATATTCCTTGAGCTTGCCCTTCCTAGCAGCATTACTGTCTATGATGCATTTTTCTATTTTTTCCCAGGTCTGAGGATTTCACATCTCATATCTGAGGTAACAAGTCAACATTTAGCGACACAGAAATAAAACCTCATGTAAACAATTATTTACCAATATTAATTTGCTACAGGACATATAAACTGAGTTTTAGCATTTATTGTCACAAATAAACCTCCCTATATATTGTGACAGGATAAAATAATGGGGATTAAGGAGAGATTGTCAGCTTTAATAAAAACTAGAGCATACTTTCTGTTCACCTGCTACAGAAAAGGGGATATGGGAGGTGAGGCAGTGGAGGCAAGGGGAGAGGCAGTGGCAAATGTAATGGCTGGGTTAATTGCCTGCTACTGAGAATAAACTCCCTGCACAGGTCTGGCTGGCCAAATACCTTCCTCCAGAGGCAAAATAGCAATCTGGTGAAGGCCAGTTTTGTTTACCCTGAAAGTAAATGGCTCAAAATCATTGGTAGCCCATATGGGGTGATTTGCTGTCTTATGCCACAGCCATGACTCTAGCTGGAGCCTGTGTAGAAATTCTTTGTTGCTTCCAGGGCAGAGCAAAATCACATGGTTGGACTTAGCCCTTGAGTGATAAAGATTAAACGGAGCTGCAGACAAAGAAAGGGATGCTCAGCTACATTGCTGTAGAAGTTATCCTGAGTGAATTCCTCACCTGCACCTACTTGCGTATAATGTTCCACTTGTGAAGCCCTTCTAGGACGTAGCCCAGCTACAGGTATTACTTCAGAGGCAACCAGCAAATACATTTCTATTAAGTACTACAGAAGAACTGTTTTGTGAAAACCATTTGGATATCTGTTCAAAGCAGAGAAGAAAAATGCCGCTGGCTGCAAGAGTACTGCGGGAGGCTGTTTGTGGGCGGTGGAGTTGTGATGACACACTTTACCTAGCAGTTGTCTTGGGCTGGTGGCTAGGCTACCAGGTATTTATCTTGTATAATCACTGGTCAGGAGTGCACCTGATTCCTTTAAAAGCACTGGGATAAGTCTTTGGTGCAGCTGTTTACACACTTAAGACTTTGCTTCCAGTTACCCTGAGATAACGCACTCTGTTCTCTGCCAAATGTATCTATCCAAAATGACAGGATTGGGCAGAATATTCCAGTCCGTCCACAGGCTAGCAAATGGAAACATTTGCTTATCACTGGGCAAGTTCATTCTTTCTATACTGATGACAGTAGGTCTTATAAAAAGAAAATGATAGTTCTAACCATACAGTTCATAGTATTATGTTCTTAGCTCTATTCCAAGAATTGTGTTTTTCCAATGAACCACTCTGTCTACCTCTGCAATGCTTCCACCAAACAGTAGGTTTGGTTTCCAAGGTCATATGGGCAACAAAGCCCTGTAAGTTAAAAAAAAGTTGAGGGAATACCCAGAAGAGTTTTCTTACTCTGCAGGGAAAGTATGTGAAACAGCAGCTGCTATGAAGAACAAAGTCATGGAAAGTCCACCTGGCTTCAGTATCATTGAAATGTCAATCCTTCAGGTCTGGGCAAGAAGCTTGATCAGTAGGTTTTTCAGATGGAGAACACTGTTTGCTGTATCCAGGCCAGCATAGGTGGCACTTGTGGGCAGCAGAAAGAATTCCCGCTCATTGTTCAATGTGTGCAAGCCCAGCTCCTCCTTTAATTCTGTCACACTCAGTGCATCACTCTTGTCCTTGAATAAAAACAGATATTGTTTCAACAGTAGCTCCTAGATGCCTTATCATAAAACAAAGGTGCTCAACCATTGGTGTTCTAGATATTTTTAAACTTCAAATCAACATAGTTAAAAGGGTAGGGACCCTGGGAGAAAAAATTCAAAACATGGAGGACCAGGACTGAGGAACAGAGCCACTGACCAAACAGAAACATATTCTGTTATGTTTTTATCAGCATTCACACCTGATAAAAACATAACAAGCAGAAGTGGGAATCCTTTGCCATTCCAAATGTTGGACTACAATTCTCAGAATGCTAGCCATCATAGCCAAGAGTCAATAATGTTAAAAGTCGTAGTTCATCTGGAGGGCTGCATAAATCCCACAAGTGTGGCTGAAATGGAAACAGTCACACCTGAAACTAAAACATTTACCATGACACTATTAGGACTAAATGTTAATACAGAAAAACATTCAGAGGATTAAAGAGTCTAGGTATACTAGACTTCTAAATCCGTATGGAAATATTGACCCTCCAAGGATTTTGGATGCCAATGCATTACACATAATCCTTTAGCAGTGGCAATGCTGGATGGGACTGAATTGCATTAAGGGCCAAAGATTCTCTAACCTTGCCCTAGGCTGTCCTGAGTAAAAGGTGCCAAGATACCTACCTGTTTGTTAGCCAACACTATCAAAGGTAACTGAGAGTCCTCAGATAGCAGGCAGTGGAGTTCCTGCTGGGCAATGTGAAGGCGAGAGCCATCTGCCGAGTCCACTACAAACACCAGAACATGGGCTTTGCTCAGGTAGTGGTTCCAGTAGAAGCGTAGATTCTGGCTGCCACCAACTGGGATGATAAAAAAACAGTAGTCAAAATTCATACAGGTTTCAAAAACATCAGCATCTCAAGATAGAATTTAAATTGGAAAGGGGTTTATTTTTTATCAATGTCTGTGGCATCTGAAGAGTTTTTGCTCCAAAGGCGTACAAACATTATTGATGGGACGGGACCCATGAGGATAAGAACAGATGAGACAAAGCTAGGCATTATTGTCTCTCCCCAGCATTCAAGGAGGCAATTCCCATTTTCAGCTAAGGCTTCTAGACATCATTTCCTCCCCCACAAAACCATGCAACAATGTCTGACGTGATGGTTTAGATTAGAATAAGCTGACTCATCTTACCTGCAACAAAGAAGAACCACTCCATTCTCCCACACTGAGCCTTTTTCAACCTCTGCTTTGCCTACCAATGTCTGATAGTACATACCCTCTAGGAGGTCCAGCTGGAGCCCATTGGCTTGTAGTTGCACTGAGTTGAAGCCCTGCGTGGGTGCTATGTCTTCCTGAGCTTCTGTGTTGCAGACGTAATGGATAATGCTGCTCTTTCCTGCTCCATCCAAACCAAGAACTAAAACCTGATATTCACATGAATGTGGCTGCAAAAATAAATGGTTTGAGTTAGTCTGAGCTGTGTTGAGAGAGGGATATTCATGGCTGGCACATCAGTGGCTTTCTTTCACAACAGAGATATCAGACCTCATGTCCATGTAGAGTGTAAGCTTGTTATTACAGGAAGCGAAGCATGAGATAGATTACTTAGATCAGTGGTTCTCAACCTGTGGGTCCCCAGGTGTTTTGGCTTCAACTCCCAGAAATCCCAACCAGTTTACCAGCTGTTAGGATTTCTGGGAGTTGAATACCAAAAACATGGGGATCCACAGGTTGAGAACCAGTGACTTAGATAAATTACAATTTTATATTGTTTGCCTTGTTATTAACTGTTGATTTAATGTAAATTAGATATATTTATGTATGTTGTTGTTGAGATGATTTGCATAATTATATTGCGAGCTGCTCCAAGTCCCCTTGGGATGATGCGGCAGGATACAAAAGAAGTATTGTTATTATTACTTAGGAAACCAAAAACTACAACATCCACTGCTATTTAATAGAGCAGGGGCAGGGTAGGATAGAGCAGAATAATTTTATTTTCTTTCCTACACAAACTATTTTTAATGTTCTCCCACTTGGAGCAACTGACCAAAGGCAGCATATGGTGAAGGCAGCAAATGATGACTTGTGAGGCTTCTTATGGAAAATGTTACCTTCAAAAACCATCTTATCTTCTGGGCTCCTCACTTGGGAGACCAGCCCTGGTGCATTTCTGATTAGAACCCTGGCTATACTTTTGCTTTAAATAGATTTATTATTATAGAGATGGAGAATATGGGCTCCTCCATATGTACTTTGGATGCAGCTCCCATCAGATTTAGCCACATAACAAAAGCAGGAGGGTCAGAAGTGTTGGAGGATTCAGTCTTCTTAAGCCTCCTCTATATGATGTTTGTCTGTTTTATAATGTGTCATTTTATAATCTGACATATATGTCTTATTATTGAAGTTTTTAACCCTTGACAAGAAATGTGCCTGTATCTTTAAATACATGAAGTTATCAGTAAACAAAAGGCGTGATCTTCAAAAGAAGTCTGCTTGCATCATTGTCTGCTGAAAGCATCAAACAGAAACAAAATATCTACATGCCCAGCGATCATCCATTACCAAATAAACTCTGCTTTGTTGTTCATTCGTTCAGTCGTCTCCGACTCTTCGTGACCTCATGGACCAGCCCACGCCAGAGCTCCCTGTCGGCCGTCACCACCCCCAGCTCCTTCAAGGTCAGTCCAGTCACTTCAAGGATGCCATCCATCCATCTTGTCCTTGGTTGGCCCCTCTTCCTTTTGCCTTCCACTTTCCCCAGCATAATTGTCTTCTCTAGGCTTTGCTGTCTCCTCATGATGTGGCCACTCTGCTACCAATTACCAAATAAAATCTGTTGGATTGTGTGATTTTAATGTTTATATTGATATGTTTTTTAATTCCATGTTTCAATGTTAAATGATGTCTCGTTTTATGATTTAATTGATAATTGTATGTTATTATTATCATGTTCGGTTTCTGTATGTGAGGCATTAAATGTTGCCATAATTATCTTGAGTCCCCCGCTAGAGGGAGAAAAGTGGTATGCAAGTGAATTAAATAAATAAATAATAAATAAATATCCTGATTAGGATGTGAGCCCAACAGTTCATGATCTATACCCCAATTGTCAGTGATCCTAACAGGTATTGATCCATTTTGGATACTACTCCTTAAGCCACTAAGGATGATGTCCCAACTTGGCATGTATGATGTTTAGAGACAGGGTAATACCTGACTTGTGTTTGAATCACTGAGACTACAGGAGGCACTAACAAGGGGTCAGAAAGCATACTTGCAAGGTAGACCTCCATCTGAGGTCTGTGGGCTAATTTTCTGTCCTTTGCATTCCCTTAAGGGAGCTGCATGACAACAACCCTCCAAAAGTGGCGTACACTGGTCTGTTGTAAATGTTAAATGGCACCTGGGACATCTTAAAAAGGCAAGTTGACTCTCTTGGGGACACGGAGAGAGACAGCTCACTCTTCCTGTAATTAGAAAACAGGAAGTTTGAAGGGGGTTAGCGGTAAAAAAAAATACTTTTGGGGATGCCCAGGTGGATCGGAAAAACATTATACCCCACTCCAGTGTGCCCAAAAGGACCAGATCCTTCTGATATCAGAACATAAGCTCTGGTTAGTATTTGAATGGATTTCTTTCTAAGAAAATCCTATTAAGTATAGCCATGTTCCAGAAGCATTCTCTCCTGACGTTTCACTCACATCTCTGACAGGCATCCTCAGAGGTTGAGGGATCTGTTGGATGCTAGGCAAGTGAGGTTTATATATCTGGGGAATGTCAAGGGTGGGAGAAAGAACTCTTGTCTACTTGAGGCAAATGTGAATGTTGCAAATGGCCACCTTGATAAGAATTTAATGACCTTGCAGCTTCAAAGCCTGGCTGGTTACTGCCTAGGGGGATCCTTTGTTGGGATGTGTTAGCTGGCCTTGATTGATTCTTGTGTGGAATTCCCCTGCTTTTTTAGTGATCCTCTCATCTTTGCAGGAGTCTATCATAAACCATGCAGATGTGGACAAGTCTACATAGCAACCACCAAGCACAGCGTCCAATCACGAATCAAGGAACATGAAAGGCAATGCACACTAACTCAACCTGAGAAGTCAGCCATAGTACAGCATCTGATGAAACAACCTGACATAGCATATTATTTGAGAACACCGAAATGCTGGACCACTCTAACAACCACCATGTCAGACTACACAGAGAAGCCATTGAAATCCACAAGCATGTGGACAATTTCAACAAAAGGACAACATGAAAATGAACAAAAACTGGCTACCAATATTTAAAAAAGCTCTAAAACCAGAACAGTAAATAAAAAACAACACTCAAAAAGGAGGGGAATGTCAGACAAGAATCAATCAGAGCCAGCTAACATCTCCCAATAAAGGATTCTCCCAGGCAGCAATCAGCCAGTCTTTGAAGCTGCAAGGTCATTAAATGCTAATCAAGCTGGTCATTTGCAACATTCACACATGCCTCAACCAGATAAGAGTTCTTTCTCCTACCCTGGACATTTCACAGACATATGAACCCCACTTGCTCAGTTTCCGACAGACCTCACAACCACTGAGGATGCTTGCCATACAGGCAGGCAAAACGTCAGGAGAGAATGCTTCTGGAACATGGACATACAGCCCAGAAAACTCACAGGAACCCAGTGATTCTGGCCATGAAAGCCTTCAATAAAACCCTATGAAATAATGGGGTTGATGTCAGTTGAAAGAGGACTTGAAGGCATGTATCTCAAGACCTATACATTTGCATATATACCTATATATAAACACGCACACACTCCTCTCCTAAAGACAACAGATCCTCTTTGATCTCAGAAGCTAAGCAGGATCAGCTCTGATTACGACAGGTAGCAAAATCTGAAAAATGTTCTGCTCCTGGTTGGAAAGTGGTATTTCCCATTTCATTGTGCAGTGCTTACTTTGAAAGGCCTTGTTATCCTCCAGAAACTTTGTTTTTGTGGCTCTCCCAAACTATGTTGGAGTGGATGAGACTGGATGAGATATCCACTGAAAAACTAGAGCAGAATGTGCCACAAAAACAAAGTTTGGGCAGTTTAATAAATTTTCCCCGTGTTTTATGATAGAACCAATTAGGAAGTGAGATGTATAGCCCAGGAACAATGATGGTGGTACATAGTGGACGGAGATCACCAACAAATATCAGGTGCAGAGGTTTGTCAGTGAATCTAGTGCAGGCATGGGCCAACTTGGGACCTCTGGGTGTTTTGGACTCCAACTCTCACCATTCCTCACAGCCTCAGGCCCCTTCCTTTTCCCCCTCAGCCGCTTAAGGCTGTGAGGAATGGTGGGAGCTGGAGTCCAAAACACCCAAAGGGACCAAGTTGGTCCATGCTTGATCTAGTGGGCTTCAACCCCGCCAACTGCCTAGGAAAACCCTATGAAACGAACAGAGTTGCTGTAAGATGCAAAAACCCCACTCCCAGGTTTAGGCTGAGGGGCCAGCCCCTCCCTGCGTGCATCTACACTACGGAATTAATTCAGTTCTGCGCCACTTTACCCGCCCCGGCTCCGGGCTATGGAATAGCGGGAGTTGCAGTTAACATGTTTGGAAGGGAAGGCTATATCGACCTTACAAAGCTGCAGCTCCCTGGGTTGCACAGCCCTGAGCCCTGGCAGTTCAAGTGGTACAGAAGTGCGTTAACACCACCGTGCGGACGCCTACCTCCTCCTCCTCTTGGGAAGCCGCTTTCTGCTGCAGCTCGGCTCCCAGCTGCCGCTCCCAGCGCGCCCTCCACCCGATGCAGCTATCGTTGGCGTCTCGGAAGTAGACCTTCCAGGCGATGAAGAGGAGCGAGCCCAGCGCCGCCACCGCCGCCCCCAGCGCCAAGCCCAGGTGCCTCAGGGCGGCCGAGGGAGCCATGGAGGAGGAAGACCCCCCTACCCGTTCCGCCTCCTTCTTCCTCTTCCTCCTCCTCCTCCTCCTCTTCCTTCCCTGGCTCTGCTGCAAGCGCGCAACCTGCCCGCCTGCCTTCCGGGCTTCCGTCTCGAGCCCAGAGGCGCCCGAAGAGAATCCCCGGCCGGTGGAGGGAGCGAACCAGCCAGCCGCCGGTGACGTCACGGGCCGCCTTAAAGGGGACTCGCTAGTTGCCAGGAGGAGACGCCAAACTCAAACAGCTGGAGAAGGAAGGCACTCTGGCACCACCACCTCAACTGCCACAGGTCCCATGCCATGGGATCACTGCAGTTGTACTTTTACAAGGTCCTTGGCCCTCCCTGCTGAAGAGGGCCGGTACTTTACCACACTACAACTCCCAGGATTCTGTCGGATTGAGCCGTGGCAATTAAAGGGGCGTCAAACTGCATTCATTCTACAGTATAGAGCAGGCATGGGCAAACTTCTGTTAGGGATGTCTTGGGCTTGTAGGAGGCTTGTATTAGGGGTGTCTTGGGCTTGTAATAGAGATGTATTGGGCTTGTCTTAGGCTTTGGCTTGTATTAGGGATGTATTGGGCTTGTATGAGGCTTGGGCTTGTGTTAGGGATGTCTTTATTTATTTATTTATTTATTTATTTAATTATTCGAACTTATATGCCGCCACTCCCCTGGGGCTCGGAGCAGCTTACAAGAACAGGCTAAAATCGAACACAATTTAAAAACAATTTAAAAAAATTTAAAAACAGTATCAAAGATCAAAGGCCTGTCGAAACAGATATGTCTTACATGCCCTGCGGAAAGCTAAGTCCTGCAAGGCACGGACTTCAAGTGGCAGAGTATTCCAGCGTGATGGTGCCACTGCTGTAATGGCTCTGTGTCTGGTTGCTGTTAGACGCAAGGTCTTGACATTGGGAATTTCCAACAAATCTTGGTCCTCAGAACGGAGGGATCTCTGGGGCTGGTAGGGGGTGAGGCAGTCCCTCAGGTACATCGGCCCCAGACCATGCAAGGCCTTAAAGGTGAGTACCATCACTTTGAAAGTGATCCGGTGCTCCAATGCAGCTTGGGCTTGTATTGGGCTTATATTAAGCTTGGGCTTCTGTTAGGCATGTCTTAGGCTTGTATTAGAGATGTATTGGGCTTGGGCTTCTGTTAGGGATGTTTTGGGATTGTATTGGGCTTGTATGAGGCTTGGGTTTGTGTTAGGGGTGTCTTGGTCTTGTATTAGGCTTGGGCTTCTGTTAGGCATGTCTTGGGCTTGTATTAGGGATGTATTGCGCTTGTATTAGGCTTGGGCTTCTGTTAGGGATGTTTTCGGCTTGTATTGGGCTTGTATTAGGTTTCGGCTTCTGTTAGGCATGTCTTGTTCTTGTGTTAGGGATATTTTGGGCTGGTACAAGGCTTGTCTTAGGCTTGGGCTTATATTAGGGATGTATTGGGCTTGGGCTTCTATTAGGCATGTCTTGGGCTTGTGTTAGGGATGTTTTGGGCTTGTACAAGGCTTATATTAGGCTTGGGCTTGTGTTAGGCATGTCTTGGTCTTGTATTAGAGATGTATTGGGCTTGTATTAAGCTTGGGCTTGTGTTAGGGATGTCTTGCCAGGGCTTCTGTTAGGCATGTCTTGGGCTTGTGTTATGGATGTCTTGGGCTTGTACAAGGCTTGTCTTTGGCTTGGGCTTGTATTAGGGACGTATTGGACGTATGAGGCATGTGTAGGCTTGGGCTTGTGTTAGGGATGTCTTGGGCTTGTATTAGGCCTGTATTAGGCTTGGGCTTCTGTTAGGCATGTCTTGGGCTTGTGTTAGGGATGTATTGGGCTTGTATAAGGCTTGTCTTAGGGTTGGGGATGTAGGGCTTGTCTTAGGGATGTTAGGAATTGTGGGAGTTGTAGTCCAAAACACCTGGAGAGCCAAAGTGTGCCCATGCCTGGTATAGAGGCATCCTATATATAGGCTTTCCCATCTTCGGCATCTTGGGGGCTGTGCTCGGTTCCGGGGTGGGGGTGCTGATACTCCACTTTCTCTGCCAAAGAGCTTTGTTCATCAACTTCTTCCTTGATTGAATTGCCAGCATTTTTCTGGCATTTCCTTATGGGTGTCTTAAATACCTCCCCGCTTAAGCAGTACCTATTTATCTACTCACATTGCTGATTTCGGAACTGCTAGGTAGGCAGAAGCTGGGCTAAAGGCCAGGAGCTCACCCTGACATGGGCTTCGAATGGTCAACCTTTCGGTTGGCAAGATTTACTGCAGCTGGTGGGTAACCTGCTGTGCTAAAGCCCAGCACCACTTCAATCCTAGTTATGTTTGCTTTGAAATTTATGCATTTTACAATGGGTCTTTTCTTCTAAATGACTGTGGACAGGATCCACAGTTACTTAGGCCATCAAATTTTATTTGGCAGCAAGCACCATTGTAATCCATGGGAGCCAGTATTTAAGCAAGGACTTGAAAATAAATTCAGAACTATAGTATTTTATTCTGTCAGAGCCCAAACATACTCATACCCTCAGAAATCAATAATAAATAAAAGTGCTGTTGAACACAGAGCGACATTCAATGAAGCCTAATTTGCTTTCATGCTAGTTCCCCTGATAACATTTGAAAAAGTATTGCTACATATCTGAAAAGGTGTTTTGTGCTATCTCAGATATGTACAGAAAAAATAAATGAAGTGTGGCTGAGGATGTTTGAGTGGTCTAGTTCTTAACCTATGCAAAGGATTCAGATTTACTTCATTCCCTCAGTTTTATTGCAGTTGGTTAAAGGAAGGGCTCAGCAGCAGAACTGATAGGCTTCTTATGTCAGGACTCCAAAAGGGTCACACTTGACAAGGAAAATAATGAGTCACAGCACTGGATGACCACTCAAAGCGTTGTAAAGGCAAGGTGTGCCTATTTCCTTGATCATGGGGAAATCTTCCTCCAAAAATAAATTCCTCTCTCTTAGGGCCCTTCCACACAGCCTTATCCCAGAATATCAAGACAGAAAATTCCATAATGTCTGCTTTGAACTGGGTTATCTGAGTCCACACTCAGATAATGTGGGATTTTCTGCCTTGATATTCTGGGATATAGGGCTGTGTGGAAGGGCCCTTACTGACCTAACAGCTAAAAATAGTTAACAAAAAAACTGTTGACTGGAACAGCTATATCAAGGAGTCCTTTGCCTAACGGCAACCTCTTAGATTTGCTGAATCAGGTACCCGATATGTCCCCAGCTGTCAGAAAGTTACAAAACAAACAGAGATAATGGAGTAATTTCCTAAATATAGTTCTCCTTTGTGGTTTCTGTTTGAACAGTGTTGCACAATAGGATCCTGGCATCTAAATTGTGTGCTCGATGTAAGGTGCATCTACACTGTAGAATTAATGCAGTTTGACACAACTTCAATTGCAAAGGCTTCATGCTCTGGAATTATGGGAGTTGTCATTTTACAAGGTCTTTATCTTTTTATGCCAAGGAGGGCTGGTACCTCACTAAACTACAGCTTCCAGGACTCTATAGCATTGTGCTATGGCAGTCAAGCTGCATTAATTCTACTGTATAGATACACACACAATTCTCCTTTGTAGTTTCCACATGCTTTGTGCTGCACAATAAGATTCTGGCATATAATGCTTCTATCTCTCATCTTCAAATTCTCAGAAATGCAGATGTACATAAGGAAGTTTTAAAAAATGTAGATGTTAAACTGTTTGTTCCATAGGATGGGTGGCTTTTTGCCCCTATGGTATTGTGAAGGCTGACAGACAAAAGCACCTCGATATTTGGATTAACAGGGGTCATCAACAACCCATCCAGGATACTCTGTGTCACCTAAAATCCTCATGAATTGTATTCCAAAACATTTTGGTGTAGCTTGGTCTTGAATGGACAATTAAGACCTATTAGGTTTACAAAAGGTCTAAAACACCTAGAACCAGCCTGCTGATGTGGATTGGCTGTTTTCATTTGGGGAAGGACATCTAGAGTTCAAAATCTACTCCTATACCACAGAGTAGCCTGCATGTTTGAACTTGTTTTTAAGGTACTCTCTGCAGCTATAATTTCCAGAGAAACATATTGTTAACATATTCTGTTACACTTGGAAAATCTAATGATTTATTATGGCATCTCTACTGAACTTTAGAACCTGCCTATAATTGTAACACATTAACTCTGCATCCATAGGAAATGTTTAGATCTTCCCAGGCTAGAAATCTGTCACAGTGGCAATCCTGAAGAATGATCTTATTCATATCTGGGGCTTTGAAGTTGGCATGGGTTGAAATCAACTTATGTTTTAACACTTAGCAGCTACCATTGAAAAATATCAAAGGGCTGTAACCTCCCCTACCTGTTACAGATTTTTTAAAATTTAACTTTTAATTTTGATTTTAGATACAATTAGATTTAGATTTGACAGTTGACAAACATACATACTAAATTAATTCCCTAACTGCTACAGAAAATGACCATGCTATATATACATATGAAACAACAAACATTGCACCTAATGCAACATTAATATTTAACATATAACAATACTGACATTACATACATTAATGTTTAACTAAACAAATTGGATTTCCAGCTTTCCTCTCATTGGTATTTATTATTTGACTAGCTTGTGTACATAGCATTGCCTGGGTTATTTAAAAAAGTCATTTTTTAATTGTACAAAATGCATAAAGTTGTGGGTGAACTACAACTCACATCATGCCAGGATAACCCAGAAAACGTCCGTCAGTACTTAAAGTTTGTTATGTTGGGCAAGTTTGCTCTAGATGCATCATCGGTGGGGTTCAGTGTGTCCTCTGGCTGCAGGGTAAACTACAACTCCCACTATGGTGTCCTAGATGTCTAGATGTCCTTCCCCTCAAAGCCCTCCAGTAGGTGGAGTTAGTCATGGAAGCTCTATGTGCCAAGTTTGGTCCAGGTCCATCATCGGTGAAGGTCATAGTTTCTCTGGTTGTGGGTGAACGACTACCCCCAGAAAGAAAGGTCAGTTCTCCTCAAACCACTCCAGTAATCAAATTTTGGCATATCAGGCATGTGTGCCAAGTTTGGTCCAGATCCATCGATGTTTGGGTTCACTGTGCTCTCTGGATGTAGGTGAATTACAACTCCCTCAAATCAAGGTGAATTTTTCCCAAAGACCTCCAGTATTTTTTGTTGCTCATGGGGGCTCTGTGTGCC